CAAGAGAAAAGTGGAGACCAAAATTAAACATCATTAGGGATAATTATACTAATACAAGGAAAAATTCAGAAGGGGAGAGAAGAAATTCTAGGAAAGATTTTCAGAACTATAGAGAACAGAGACCATATAGACAATACCAGAGTAACCAAGAAAGAATTCCCACTTATAACAGATATGAAACTCTGTCAGACTATAGGGAAGAAGAGGTTTTTCGACAATCCAAAATCAAGGAAAGACACAAGTTAGACCAAGAGCAAAATATTCCAACAAATTCAAGGAAAAGGAGAGCCTCAGATATAGAGGAACAAGGGGAGGAAAACGAGTACAGATCAAAAAGAAGGGACCTAAATCTACAGAATTAATAAAAGGCATTTTTAATCTAAGTGATAAAATTCTTGATAATCATCATAAATCAGTACTCAATAAAGGGTTAAAATTTGCCCCTAGCATAGGGTTAAATCATTTTGATATGTATATAGATTTAAACCGCTTTAAACGTAGCTTATGTTTAAAAAAATTTTTTTGGGGAGACCCGCTTAATAGGGAACTAATTAACCAAAATATAAATTTAGAAGATGAGTCTGGGTTTAAACACACCTCCCTTAAAAATAAATCTTCTTTTTACCCCAGACAAATGTTATCAGACGAAATAATAACATTTGAGACTATGGTCACAACAGAAATGAATAAAATTATCCCTAAAGACAAGTTTCGAGATAACTTGACAATATTGGAAAAAAAGGCACTTAAAGATCTCCAAACAGACAAAAATTTAGTTATTAAACCGGCAGATAAGGGAGGGGGGATAGTGCTTATGTCTTAACAGTTTTATGATACGGAAGCAAATAATATTTTAAAAGATTCTAATACTTACCAACAATTAGGGATGAATCCAAGTGATAGTATTAATTCTCTTTTTTTAACTTTTTTTAATAAAGGACTTAATGAAAATATTTTAAGCTTAAAAGAATTCCAGTTTTTAAATATGAAATTTCCCAAAATACCAGTTTTTTATTTTTTACCCAAAGTTCATAAAAATGTGAAAAAACCTCCAGGAAGACCCATTATAGCAGGTATAGACTCCATTTCAAGTAGACTATCACAGTATATAGATGTTCAATTGCAACCTTTAGTCATGAAAACTAGATCACATATTAAGGATACGATCACGGTCTTACAAGTTTTGGAAGATATGCCGTGGGATAATGACTGTATTTTAGTCACTTGTGATGTAGCTGCCCTTTACAGTAACATCCCCCATTCTTATGGATGTAGAGCAGCAAAACATTTCTTAATGGAATCTAAAGAATTTAAACAAGAACAGGTAGAATATATAGTGGAAGGAATAAAACTTATCTTAAATAATAATTTCTTTTGGTACAATGATACCTTCTTCCTACAAACTAATGGGACGGCCATGGGGACCAAGTTTGCCCCCAGCTATGCCAACCTATTCATGTCTTTTTGGGAAGAATCTTATGTTTATGGGGGACATGGCTGGGGGGAAAGCTTGGCCTTCTATGGCCGATATATTGACGACATTTTTTTGATCTGGAGGGGAGAAGAAAGCAATTTAGTCTCTTTCTTAGAATTTTTAAACACCAATGATTGGGGCATCAGACTAAGCAGCACTTGGAGTAAAGAAATAGTAACCTTTTTAGATCTCGATATTTTTATTGAAGGGGGAAAAATTAAAACTAAGAATCATTTTAAAAAAGTTGATTGTAATAGTTTTATAGAGAGTATAAGCTGCCATTACTCTTCGTGGTTGGAAAATGCCCCAAAGGGACAATTCCTCAGAATTAGACGAAACTGCAGCGATTTGGAAGTCTATGAGGAACAATCATCACGGATAAAAACTGATTTTGTCATGAAGGGCTATGATGCAGAAAAACTAGAGAAATCAAGAAATGAAATTAGAAATAGGGAGAGGAAGGACTTATTAGTATACAAAACTAAAACTATTGCCAATATACAAGATATCCCTTTTATCTGTAATTACAACAATAATAATCATCAAATAAACCGAATTATTAAGAAATATTGGCCGATCCTATTACAGGACCCAGCACTAAACGAATTCTCCCTGCGAAACCTAGAATAATATATAGGGGTGCAAAAAATTTGAGGAATAGCCTGGTTCGGAGCTCTCTAAAAGAACAAAATCACACCTCCACTATATTTAATAATGAGAAGGGATTTTATGGTTGTGGTCAGTGCTCTGCCTGCAAAAAGTCAGGATGCAAACGAAGAATAATAAAAGATATAACTTCGAACAAGGATAAAAAAATCCAAATTAAGCAATTTATAACATGCTATACTAAAAATGTGGTATATCTTTTAATTTGTCCATGTGGACTGAAATATGTGGGGAGGACAATAAGACCACTACATACTAGAATCAGAGAACACATATATAAAATCCAGACGGGTTTCGAGCAACATAGTGTCTCGAGCCACTTTAAATTATGTCATGATCAAAAACCAGAGGGCTTACAGTTTATGGGGATCAATAAAATAAATAGAAATTGGAGAGGAGGGGACTTCATAAAAGATTTAGGCAAACGTGAGATGGAATGGATTTATAGACTAAATACGTTAATTCCATATGGTCTTAATGCGGACTTTGAGCTGTGCCATTTCTTATGAAATTTAAAAAAAAAAAAAAAGTTTCAGTATTTGGTAATGGATTTTAGTGGTAATTGTATAGAATAGATAGATATATAAGATTTATGTATTAAACATACAAGGAATTGTGAATTATTTCGTTTGGTAATTTATATGTATGTGGTAAAGAAATCTACCCTGTTAATATTGCCAAAAAACCTATTGGAGTTTAAACAATAACAATCATAGCACTTTTTACAATAATTATTTTATAATATTTTAATCTTTTTCCGTATTAGTTAACTATTTCACTGTCTAGAAGATAATTGATAAATCACTGTGGATATCTAGGAATAGAGCATAAAGAAGAGCCATCATTATTTTATTTATCCACAGTGTATTCTTAAGAAAAAGAAAGGGGATATGCAATAACACTACAATTTTATTTGGGGTTTTCATTATTGTGGATTATATTAAGATCAAAAGGTTAAAATGTAGAGAAATAACTGAGATTAACTATGTATTCACTACAGTATCATTGTGAATTAGAATTGATAAAATGTTACAGATGATAGATATTGAAATATTTGTAACAATAAGAAAACTGATACTGTCCCTTGTTGTTTTTTTGTTTTTATTTTTTCGCTTCCTTTCTACATATGAGAAAAATATTATTTTTCGTTGGACGGACTTTTGAGGATATTAAAGGATTCAATTTCTATATTCAACAACGAACTTTTAAGATATTTATACCAGCTATCGAAAAATGAAGATGAATGGAAAGGATAAGAATGAATATAAACATCTTCACTCCCGATATCAACATGAAAGGGAGGCATGGACCGCACACGTCGTACCTGTGGGTGGTAACGATGTGCGACGGTTAATGTGTTGTGGAATTTGCCCGCCGTTTTTTGTATATTTAAACCTAAGAAGAGGGGTCCCAGGATTATTGTTGCTTTGTTACAATCCGGTTTGAAGAAGCCACGTCGGTAGTGGCGAAACGCGTCCCGGTATTTTTAAGCACATTGTGGCTATTTTATTTATGAGTGTATTAAATAAATAATTGCTTTTATTTTCGAATGATCCTGGTTCCCGACATCGTTTCATTGTATGGGGAGTGCAGTCCCGAATTTGCACAACGCTTAGAAATTGAGTCAATTATTTTGACTCTATACTTGTGAGTACCCACTTAAAGATCACATATATTTTTTCTCTAAGACATACAAACGATATTGCACTATTGGGTGTATTTTTATTCATTTACAGACCTCAGGAACATACTGTGAGAAGGGTTTGGGGTCACCTGTATAGACCCAGAAGCTATTAAAATTAGAGCTAAGTCGACAGCTCTCTGCTTACAATTTTCCTTGCTGATTTCCAGTGACATTTTACTCTAAAATTGCAAAGGTGATTAATTTATTATTTATAAGCGCTACATTCCAAATTTGTTTTGTGTGTTTAAGTTAATAGGAATCTATGAATGTTTAGCAGCTATTTAATACTATAAGTTATATTTGTATTTAATATTTACTTCTATATATAAGCGCTGGTTCCACTGTCTATATCAAGTCACTGAAGGAGTTTTAACCCCTTCAGCAACTTGGGATGGGGGGTGGGAGGGAGAGGGGACTTGCAGTGGACTGTCCCTTTAAGGGATCAGACCAGAAGTCAGTTATTGGTTTTACCATCGCTGCGCCTGTGTCATTGATCCTCGTGTGGTGATTAGGTTACTGCTGAACCTAGGCACTACCAGTACCACTTACACCATCTTTAATTCACTGATTTACAGTGTGGCTGGGCTTTTTTTTTTAATTGTTTGCAGAAAGTATTTAATATTTTCAGTTCAGTGTACTGCAGCAGCTGCACTAAAAAAAAAAAAAAAAAAAATCAGTTTTGAAACCATATTTGTATTTTATTGTGTGTGTGCTGCTTGCAGTGTAGCATTTGTACACTTTGAAACACAGAATAAGTCAATAATAAAAGTCTGCCGGGCTATTATTTGATTATGGTTGTGTTATATCCTGTTTTTCATGCCATTTCATCTTTTTGCTTTTCCAATTCATTGGGATCTTTGGTTGAGATGATGACAAGCTATCATTTATTTTAAATGTTGTAAGTGCAACCGAATTTTTTTTAGTAATTTTATGTCTTAAGATCTATTCTGTGTCCCATTTTTATCTCCCTCTAGATGTGGTGCTGCTAATTGGGAGCCTCAGAGTGAAGATTGCTTTTGTTTATGATTATACTGCCTGTAACGAACTCTGGTATAACCGGTACCCATTCGTCTATTTCCTCCCGAACTGCCTGAGTGATTATAGCTCGCAGTTCGGGTGCTGAGTCGAACGATTCTCCATACGAATGACAGTCTCCCAAGTATATTCTCCCTGTAAAGCAGGCAGGTACCCAAACATCAGCTGAAACTTGATGAAGGGTGTAACAGGAATGGTTTTAATGGGTGCCACACTGGCTTTTATGCAAGTCCCCATGCAAGGGGCACTCCCACATGGACCTTGTGGGGGACAGGGACACAAAGGTTACAGCCAATAATAATACAGTGACAAAGTGTGACACTCCAAATACAAACAGATAATTCCCTCCTCTCTGCCTGTGAGATAATTGAGCCAGATAATGTAATAACTCCATTATCTCCAGACAGAAAAAAAAAATTTTTCACAAAACATTTGCCAGCCTATATATACCCTCCTCGTAACGATCGTCCTATGTTTTGGAACACACACACACACACACACACACACTCTCTCATTTTATGTGGAAGTTCCATTATTTCTCCATATTAATAATGAAAATCCACTATACTGTGTGGGAACAAAAATTAGTTTAGTAGCCGGTCGACATTTCAGTCCCACCTGAGGACTGAAACGTCGACTGGCTCCTAAACTCGTTTTGTTCCCACACAGTATAGTGGATTTTCATTATTAATATGAAGAAATAAAGAAATACTGGAACTTCTACATAAGTCAGTGAGTGCCAATGATGAAGCCAAGAGTGAGCACCTGGCAAACATCACTAATTTAAGCAAGTGTGCAAGGACTTTTGTATTTTGCATTTACGTACGCATGTGCGCACACACACCATCCAATATGCAAACACACCCTGTACACTGCAGACTTGGAGGCAGGCCCTGTGGGTGGGCTTGGATGCAGGCACCCAAGGGGCCAGACCTTGAGCTGTGTTAGGGGCCCCAAAATTTCTGATGGCGGCCCTGACTACAGTTGATATGCCCTATGTGAAGGAATGCCCCATCACTGTTCGGCTTCTTACGTTAGTTTTTGTCATCCTGTTCCAGTTTGTTCGTTATTTTGTTCAGTTCCCAAACCGAGACCACCCCAGAGACCAATTAGAACATGGAACGTTGTGTATCTTGTATGAAAACCACTGAGAAAATCGTTAATTGAAGGCTCCACAGGGTTGCCGCCATTTCATCCATACAAATACACGTAGTTGGAACAATGGATGGAGGTCATCTTGTCTCCCGGTTATCAAGGGCCTGGAACTCATTTCGGCCAGGCACTCTCGCAAACACCGGTCTCTATGGATCTACTCTACATTCTCCTTCCCATTCACTTAGATGAATGGCGTTCAGGAGTTTCAGAATACCGAACACAGGGAGCATTCTCCATGAATCAGCTAGACTCAATCTTATGTGGTTTTCATGCAAAACCCCACAAATGGAGACCGTCTCTTGCCACACTTTTCATGGAACTTTTTCTGGACTTCGACCTCGTGGCAGACCGGTCAAATCTTCCCTGCGGTGCCGATCACAAACTACCTAATGGATCTGGCTGATTTTCGAATATATTGTTCCCCCAGATTCAAGCTACACAGGGATGTGACTTTTGTGGGGTTCCCATGCATTTTATGGGGTACTTTTGGGGGGTTATAAAATTTAAACTTTTTCTGTACCAGGACCTCTGACTCAATTATCTCCCTGGCTCAGAGGAGGAGTTTCTTCACTGTATAAATTGAACGTCTGTTTTCCATTAAACCAGTCTTGTCCCAGCATTAAGCTTTGGCTCATGTGTGGGCTATTATGCGATACCAGCGATATTGTAACCTGTGGATTACTGGAGTATGATTACTATGGGAAAAGAGTATGCATGGCGGTAATACCTTGGCAGACCGTCACACCCTGCAATCTTCCTGCAACAATCAAGCATGGTTGCCAGTAAGGATGGATATTCTCCAACAGTGTCTATCAAAAAGAGGAAACCATGCTGGCCATTAGACGCACTCTAAAGCAGGCAGGTTATTTTGTTACACCACAAACACAAAAAGCAAACCAAACAATTAAGCGCCACCGGTGAAAAAATATACAATGCATAAAATAGTAATTACCCCTTGTTAAAATGTAGAGAAAAGACTCATCTCAGGCTTCAAAAGCATATAAAACACCACATATCTACAATAGATAAAAAAAAAGTAGTGTAATACTGTAAGCATAAAACAATAACTGGGAATTGGGTAAGTATTGCACTTACAAACTTATATTGATAGAAGGCAGTGTGAAGAAATTACAGTGGTATTTCGGTTATTTGACTTTTTTTCATTCGGTAGCTGTAACTACCGAACACCAACCCCCGCTCCCCCCCGCCTCATTATTTTCAAAGAGAACAGTCAATTAAGTGCTCTCCCTGTGTGGCCGCCGTTCATATAGTTGATCGCCACGTGCAGGAGAAAATGGCGGCCATCTTGTTCGCACAAAAGGAGGCAGCGGGACTTGGTCGTTGAGTGTCTGTAACTAAAATCGGACACTCAACTTCCCGATTACTGGTCAAACTGTATGAACTGCTTCCTTTTCCCGAACAGACAGGAGAGCGCTGTTCTGTAGTTTTGTTCCCACGAACCAGGGGAACAATCGCTACTATGAGCCAGGGAGTGCAGTTCATGCTTTTGTTCATTTTTAAGACTTGTTGAAATAGACCGGCCGCTCAACCTAAATTCATGGAACGGTTTCTGGGCAGGAGCCCTTGTGTTCGGTCGGTCAAAATTGGACTTCAATAAAATTCCAAAACCCCTGAACTGATCTGGGTGATTTTTGGATATATTGGTCACCCAGATCAGGGCTATCAGGGGATGTAACATTTATACAAGCACAGATATACACGCACACAGATACACACACATATATGCACACACACATACAGATATATACACTGTGACCTTTTGAGGGCAAAGCAACACAGTCCTCTAGGGTAACAGGTACCGAACAACAGTCTCTTATACAAAAATGGTGTGGTTTATTTAAATCGTGCACAAAAATCCATGCAGCAATACGTTTGTTCAAAACTTCAGCAAAACAGAAAGGAAAGTTTACAAACAAAATCCTAGCTCAAATTTGAGCACTAACTAAACATCAAGTAATGTCCCTTTCTAAACCAGGGTAATAAACTACACAATTCAACAAAATAAACATTGGTTTCACCAACCTTTAGCACTTTGTTTGGTGCTGCTCTCTCTCTGCAGGTCAGATTGTATCTCCCCCTTTCTGCTCTGAGACCTGCTAATTAAAGCCTCAGCAGTTGCTAATTGGGAAGGTGAATGAGTACAGGCTATGGAGGAGTCTGGGTCCTAAATACCTTCCTTCTATTACCCTCCCACAGACTCTGTCACAACACATACACAGATATATACACACACAGAGGTGAGAGGGTGGAAAGTGAGAGGGGGGTCATACTGTGAGGGAGGGGGAAGTGATGGTTTGAGGGAGGGGGGAACGTGAGAGGGGGAGGGTCATACTGTGAGGAAGGGGGGAGTGATGTTGTGATGGTGAGAGAGAGGGGGGAGTGATGGTGTGATGGTGAGAGGGACTAAATACCTTATTTTATTCCCTGATGGTCCAGTGTGGGCTCCCTGGTGGTCCGGTGTTGATATCCGGCGATATCCAGTCTGCAGCTCAGCAGTGCAGACCATGAATTTTGCGAGACCCAGTCAGAGCATTGCTGTGGTAACCTACGGCAATGCTTTGATTGATCAGATCTCGCGAGACACACGGTCTGCAGCTCTGCACACTGCAGAGCTGCAGACCGGTGTCTGCAATTTGCGCAGGAGGGGCATCACACTTGTTCGATATACCGCCAGGCCCCCTCCTGGTGTCAGGTTCTCAGTCAGTGACCCAGGACCCGACACAGCCTGCCCCTGGTACCCCCCTAGTGAGTGGCACCCGGGGCGGACAGCTCCCTCCGTCCCCTCTTAGCACGCCACTGCTACTCTGTACCACTCTAATAACTGCTCTTGTGAGATTTACCCACATTGAAACGGTTCCCTCATGAGGATCTCTGTATATAGAGAGGGCTAAAATATCAAGTTCCACGCTACTAGACAGGCTTAAAAGTTAACTTCCACTGAAAGATCCATGGCACACAGGAGATGTTCGGTTTACCAGGACTGAATTTTCACTGGCCCTGTCGCCCTTGACTGCGAATGACAATGCTCCCCTTGCCATATCCTCATCTATGAATATTGTACAAAATAGATCAGTCACATCTACTTTGTTAGAGTCCCAGACAAGGCAACAGTCAAGTCATTGACTGACTCAAATTCTTTAATGATAAATATGAAAATTGTTTAAAATAAAAAAATTAAAAAAACAAAACTATTTGTGTGAATTAATTATTTACATAATGTGTAGTGGACATTAATATTCTGCTGGTTTACATCATGCTGTTTTTCATAAAATTCTGAGCAGGTAAGTTATGTTGATTACAGTAGTATGAATTACTTTTCATACTTTGCTTTAACGTAGGACTCAATTTAATATATTTAAATAAGCTTTTTAAATAATTTAAATTTTTGTAAAAACTTTGAAAATCATACCATATTTTAATTTATATTTTTTTTATGATACATTTTTGATACTGTTAAAAGCGTGCCCAAAAATATTAAATCAAGGCCTGTTGGAAAAAAATGTTTTTACCTATGCAGTGCTTAGTGAATATTCCCCTAGACATACAGAGCTATATATTTTATGATACAGGGTGTCAGTCTAATGTCCTGCTTTCTACTTCTGCATTTCTTATTACGTAGCTAAAGTATTACTGTATACATATCTTGAAAGACAAAATGGTCAGTAGGCCTGATTATAATACAAGATACTCATGTTTTGAATGGGTTAAACTGGCATTTTAAAAAAAAAATGCAATATTTTTCTGTTCTTGCGCCTGACACCAGTTTTCGCTATCTCTTATAAACATCCTGCACTTTAAATATTGACATTCTTTCTAGCATCTGCAATTTTTAATTGGGTTCCTAATCTCATACTGTCAATTGCATCAGTGAACAGGAGACTAACTAACAGCATTACAAAATGTTATATGAAAATATATACTTTTGGTTCTGAGACTCCGATGATTGGTTAATGTTTCCGTTGATGTATACACCCCTAAACAAACTGTGTTATGTATAAGATGTACGAAGCATTAAACGTTTGAATGCCTATTGATACAGCTGAGTGGTGTGACTTCACAAAATTTTCCCTACAACTGATTACAGAAATAAAGGAAAGCAGAAACATCTTTGTTTGTGCATAAGACCATGGTAGCATAAGGTTTTTCAGACCCTGTTGTGATTTCAAGCCTAACAAGGCCTTAATTAGAAAATGTTTCAGTTTACTTTAATCTTTTGAGCTCTTGTAGTACATATGCTTTGTTGAAAACCCTAAAAACAAAAGTATAGAAAATATGAAAAAAATCCCTACAAGCAAAGTATAGGATAGATATGTATTCTCAATCCTTAGACTGAACGTAAAACTCAGAAGAGAAAACAAAACACCTGCAGGTAAGCAGAATCAGGAACAGGTGAACATCTAGGAGTACAGAGGAATTACAGAACAGTAAGGCAATCCAAAGTCACGGTACACATTAAAACCAGAACAGTCAAACAGGATTTGGTTAAGAAACTCAGAATAATAGATAAGACACACAATCTCTGGTAACAAGAACTATGACAGGTCAGGAGCTAAATGGAGAAATGGATAAAAACAGGGTAAAGTAGGATACTTCTGATCATCGTAATTTCTATGATGCTAAAAGGTATATGATGTGAGTAGCCTGACACCCAATGTACAAGTACACCCAATGTGTGACATAAGTTGTTCTTGTGTATATTTTTATCAGTGGTTATTGTGACTTAAAAGGAACACCATAGTGTTAGGAATACAAACTTGTATTTGTAATGTTAGTTTCACTGTCACTAGTTTTGTAGGTGTCCCCCACCCTTTAATGATTTAAGGGTTAAAAACGCTTTTTTTTTCCCTTTATATTAGGTTTTTGTTTTTTTTAGGAAGTATGGTGAGGGGGCTGAGGCTCTGCTTCTTCATTTGACAGCTGGTGATTTTGCTAGAACTCCTTTCTAGTTGTAAGCACACCAGACGCCTGCATTCAATCTACTCTTATCTGTTCTACTTAAAAAAATGCCGGGTGCCAGGTAAGGCGAAGGTGCACATGTGTGCACGGGCTGGGAGGTCCTGGCAGTGGAACTCACGTACAGGTTGCGATGCTTTTCACTGTGGAATTGTGGCGCGCTTTGTCCATGCGCAAGTGAATCCAATATTCTGGTAGCTATTTCCATAGATTTAAGGGGAAGAGGCATCAATGTCATGCCTTATTTAGATGACTGGCTTTTAATTGCAGGCTCAAAAGAACAACTTTATTAAGACCTTTAAGGCATGGTTGGTTAATACATTTTGTAAAGTCGGAATTGGTACCAAGCCAAAGAATAGTTTCAGGGTCTGATTATAGACAGTCGGTATGAAGATCTTTCTTCCTGAAGAAAAAAGAACAAAAATTGCTCGAGTTATTCAGAACCTCAGAGGAAAGTTTTTGCTCCATCAGAGAAGCAATGAGTTTGCTGGGTCTTTTCACAGCCTCAAATCCAGCAGTCAATTGGGCAAAGGCCAGAATGAGACTTATTCAAATAAATATTTTAAGCTTCTGGAACAAACGAACAGCTTGGACATGCCTATGAAACTCAACAGTCGTGTCCTGAAGAGCTTTCTCTGGTGGACTTCGTCACATTTCCTGCAGTCAGGCCTTTCTTTCCAAATGAAGTCATTCAGAATTTTAACAGATGTCTCAGGTCTCGGCTGGGGTGCTCACATGGGAGAAAAGAAGAAAAGATTTAAGAAGTTCATCAAATTACAAACAACTGAAGGCTGTCTGGCTGGCTCTCATTGCTTTCCAGAAACAGAATAATCATGTCCAGATCTGGTCATACAATTCTACAACAGTAGCATATATCAACAAACAAGGAGGAACACGGTCAGCTTGTTTGAAAAATCTGTATTCCAGAATCATGCTATGGTCAGAGTATCTCTTCTGTCTATTTCAGCAGTACACATAAAAGGAGAATTCAACATTCTGGAAGACGCTCTAAGTCATCAGCATTTACAATAAGCAGATAGTTATTTGACTGAAGATCTGGGATGAAAGAGACCAAAGAAATTTGGTTATCGAGAAATGGACCTGATGGCTCAAGAACAAACAAGAAAACAAGATTTGCATATTTAAACCCTTCAAACAGGCCAGAGACCATAGACTCCCTTTCTATTCCATGGAATTTCGGCCTAGCCTATGATTTTCCTCCTATTTCTCTTATTCCGAGGATTCTACAGAAGATCAGGATAGAAGGAGTAAGAATAATCATAATTCTGCCAGGGTGGCCGAGATGGCGTTGGTTCACCGTTCTCCTAAATATATCCATATCAACCTATTGGAAAACCTCCCCTGTCAGTAGAAATCCTGGCACACTCCATGGTACCTCTTCCAACTCTGAAGAAATTCAACCTGACGGCCTGGTTTCTGAATACCAGATCTTAAAAGAAAAAGGTTTGTCTCCTGAAGTTATTGAGATTTTAATGTCTCCATAAAAAGAAGCAACTTCCAGGATTTATTCCAGAATATGGAAGAAATTTTGTTTCTGGTGTGTCAAGATCAAAGAAAATCCCGTAACCACTTCCAATCCAAACATCCTTAGATTCCTTCAAATGGGCTTTCCGAAAATGATTGAAACGTGCTACTTATGGTCCAAGTTTCTATCAGTTTCTTCTCAATCAGATGTTTGGCTTTGAATATTGTAATCATTAGGTTTTTCAAAGCTTTGTCTCGTTTAGTTCGTGCCATCAGGGAAACCTTTCCACCATGGGATCTTAATTTGGTTTTATCAGCACTCTGTGAACCTCCTTTTGAACCTATAGAAAAGTCTTCTTTCAATGTTTTATCGTTCAAGACTTTATTTTTGGTGGAAATTACCTCGGCAAAAAAATTGGGAGAGCTTCAAGCTCTTAATTCAGTTTTTTTCCTTTTTTAGTTTCCATCAGGGCAAAGTGGTTTTAAAGCTGGATCCTTCTTTTATTGCCAAGGTTTGTTCAACATCAATCAAGAAATAATAAGGTCCTTTAAGAAAAATAAATAGTGATGTTGCGAACATCAAATTTTCAGTTTGCGAACGGCGAACACGAACTTCCGCAAATGTTCGCGAATGGGCGAACCCGGCGAACCGCCATAGACTTCAATAGGCAGGCGAATTTTAAAACCCACAGGGACTCTTTCTGGCCACAATAGTGATGGAAAAGTTGTTTCAAGGGGACAAACACCTGGACTGTGGCATGCCAGAGGGGGATCCATGGTAAAACTCCCATGGAAAATTACATAGTTGATGCAGAGTCTGGTTTTAATTGATAAAGGGCATAAATCACCTAACATTCCTAAATTGTTTGGAATAATGTGCTTTAAAACATCAGGTATGATGTTTTATCGATCAGGTAGTGTAAGGGTTACGCCCCCTTCACAGTGACAGACCAAACTCCCCGTTTAACGCACCGCAAACAAACGCAAACAGTCCATTTGCACAACCGCAAACTCCCCATTTGCACAAGGTTGGATACCAAGCTAGCCATGTCCCGTTCCTTGTCCTCACTGATGTCATTGAAGGTCTCTTCCTCCACCCAGCCACGTACAACACCAAGGGTCCCCAAAAGGTGACAACAAGCCCCCTGGGACGCTTGCTGTGTTTGGTCTTCCACCTCCTCAAAGCCACCTTCCTCCTCTGACTTTTCTTCTTCAGACTCCTCTCTCTGCGTTGCCTCTCTCTGCGTTATTATAAGGTGTGTTAAGTAGTACTATTCCTATCAGTTTAATCCCTGTTACGTCCCCTATCAGGGGACGTGTATATGGCATCGATTTTAGGAACCGGTAGATGGAAAAAGATGCTTGGTCGGTCCTCCTACTTCAAATTTGGGGCACTGCGCGTGCAATCTAATGTGCCACTAGATAGGAGTGGTGTGTTAAGTAGTACTATTCTTATCAGTTTAATCCCAATGTCACAACTACTAGTGTGGTCCACCACGCAGAAACTATGTAAACATATACGTAGGCAAGAAAAGGAAAATAAAAGGACAGAGCGTAAACCGGACCTTAGAATGGCCGGACTAATACGCTAGAGACAGAGAATGGTCAAAGGGAAAGCCAAGGAAGCTAGAAAATACACAATACCTTTTACACAAGCCAAGTCAGGGAAACCAGAATTCAGAATAACCAGGGAAAAGCCAAGATCAGGATACCAGGAAATCAGATTCACAATGATAAAGCACTCTCAGGAAACCAGGAACAGGAAACCACGACAGGGCAAGGTACTGGGGTGAGCTATAGATTTAAATATTACGCAGCAGGCTGGCAGCCACGACACCCTGTTACTTCCCCCTCATCAGGCCTTTTTTAGTCTAATGTGTCGCCCACTGTCAGTCCCTTCGGGACCCATCCCTCATTCATCTTAATAAAGGTGAGGTAATCTAGACTTTTTTGACCTAGGCGACTTCTCTTCTCAGAGAGCAAGTTGGGATAGCTCAGGCCACCGGTCAAGCCTGCACACCCAGTAGTCAAGGGGTTCATCGCTCCTCAGAGTGTCGATATCTGCAGTTAAGGCGAGGTAGTCTGCTACCTGTCGGTCGAGTCATTCTCTGAGGGTGGACCCCGAAGGACTGTGGCGATGCGTAGGACTTAAAAAGCTCCGCATGTCCTCCATCAACAACATGTCTGTAAAGCGTCCTGCCCTTGTCGGCATGGTCGTGGGAGGAGGAGGATTACTTTCACCTCTTCCCCTGTTAGATTCCCGTTGTGCTGTGACATCACCCTTATACACTGTGTAAAGCATACTTTTTAATTGATTTTGGAACTGCTGCATCCTTTCCGACTTGCCGTAATTCGGTAACATTTCAGGCACTTTCTGCTTATACCGGGGGTCTAGTAGCGTGGACACCCAGTACAGGTCGTTCTCCTTCAGCCTTTTTATACGAGGGTCCCTCAACAGGCACGACAGCATGAAAGACCCCATTTGCGCAAGGTTGGATGCCGAGCTACTCATGTCCTGTTCCTCGTCCTCAGTGATCTCACTGAAGGTATGTTCTTCCCCCCCAGCCACGTACAACACCACGGGTACCAAATAGGTGACAATGAGCACCCTGCGATGCCTGTTGTGGTTGCTCTTCCTCCTCCTCAAAGCCACATTCCTCCTCTGACTCCTCTTCCTCACAATCCTCTTCCAGCGTTGCCGCAGGTCCAGCAAGCGATGCTGATAAGGCTGTTTCTGGTGGTGATGGTGACCACAACTCTTCCTCTTCCTCTTCACGCTCATCTACGGCCTGATCCAGCACTCTTAGCAGGGCACGCTCCAGAAAGAAAACAAATAGTATGATGTCGCTGATGGTGCCTTCGGTGCGACTGACTAGGTTTGTCACCTCCTCAAAAGGACGCATGAGCCTACAGGCATTGTGCATGAGCGTCCAGTAACATGGCAAAAAAATTCCCAGCTCCGCAGAGGCTGTCCTAGCACCCCGGTCATACAAATACTCGTTAACGGATTTTTCTTGGTGGAGCAGGCGGTCGAACATTAGGAGTGTTGAATTCCAACGTGTCGGGCTGTCGCAAATCAAGCGCCTCACTGGCATTTTTTTTCGCCGCTGGATATCTGAAAAGTGCGCCATGGTCGTGTAGGAACGCCTGAAATGGCCACACACCTTCCTGGCCTGCTTCAGGACGTCCTGTAAGCCTGGGTACTTATGCACAAAGCGTTGTACGATCAGATTACACACATGTGCCATGCACGGCACATGTGTCAACTTGCCCTGATGCAATGCCGTCAACAAATTTCTTCCGTTGTCACAAACCACTTTGCCGATCTCCAGTTGGTGTGGAGTCAACCACTGATCCACCTGTGCGTTCAGGGCGGACAGGAGTGCTGGTCTGCTTTCAGGCAAGTGGGGCAAGTCAACCCCAAGACGGCGTGACACTGCCGTATCCAGGATGTGGAATAGTACCTGGGGAGCTGGGGGGGTGCCGTTGATGTGGAGCAAGACGCAGCAGCAGAAGAGGACTCAGCCGAGGAGGTTATGGAAGAGGATGGAGTAGGAGGAGTAGAGGAGGTGGCAGCAGGCCTGCCTGCAAGTCGTGGCGGTGTCACCAACTCCTCTGCAGAGCCACGCATTCCATGCTTGGCAGCCGTCAGCAGGTTTACCCAATGCGCAGTGTAGGTGATATACCTGCCCTGACCATGCTTTGCAGACCAGGTATCAGTGGTCAGATGGACCCTTGCCCCAACACTGTGTGCCAGACATGCCATTACTTCCTTTTGCACAAATCGAATACAGGTTGGGGATTGCCTTTTTTTGCAAAGAAATTTTGTCCGGGTACCTTCCACTGTGGTGTCCCAATAGCTACAAATTTTTTGAATGCCTCAGACTCCACCAGCTTGTATGGTAAAAGCTGGTGGGCTAAGAGTTCAGTCAAGCCAGCTGCCGGGCAAGGGGGTGACTTTGTGAGCAGGAACTTCTCAAGGCGAGAGACGGAGGGGCGGATGGTTGAGAGGGGGCAAGGAGGACAGCAGTGGTTAACGTGGCTGAAGATGCTGGACCAGGAGGAGGATGGCGGCTTTGAGTTTGTGTGCTGCTTGTACTCATGTGTTGATCCCATAGGCATTTGTGATGTGCGATCATGTGCCTTCGCAAAGCAGTTGTACCTAGGTGGGTGTTGGACTTCCCACGACTCAGTTTCTTTTGGCACAGGTTGCAAATGGCATCGCTGTTGTCAGAGGCAGACACACAAAAAAAATGCCACACTGCTGAGCTCTGCAATGACAGCATTCTGGTGGTGGCAACAGCATGCGTTGATTGGCGTGCTGTCTGGCTGACCCCGGGTGCCGATGCATTTTGTCTGACTGTGCCACTAGCTCCTTGCGACGACCTCCCCCTGCTTCCAACTCATCTCCTCCTCCTCCTCCTCTCTGTCTCCCCATCTGAACTTTCCCCCTGTTCTTCTTCTCTTCTAGCGGGCACCCACGTGACATCCATGGACGCATCGTCATCATCAACTGCAGTTCACTTGTATCTGACAACTCAGCAAAGGAAGCAGCAGCGGGTACAACATCATCATCATCACACCGTACGTCCATGTGTGTAATGCTGTGTGTAATGCTGCCTGACTGAGACACATCCTCTGGCAATAATGGTTGCGCATCACTCATTTCTTCCAACTGATGTGTAAATAACTCCTCTGACATACCAAGTGAAGCTGCTGTGGTGCTAGTGTTGGTGGTGGCGGCAGGCGGGCGAGTGGTAACTTGAGAGGTGCCCGAAGCTAAGCTGGAGGAGGATGGTGCGTCAAGGTACCGAGCAGAAGCTGTAGAAGATTGGGTGTCCTGTATTAGCCAGTCAACTATGTCCTCAGAACTTTTCGAGTTCAGGATACGTGGCCTCGGAACACTGGGCATTATTCTAGGGCCAAAGGGAATCACAGCACCATGACCACGACGGCCCCTGCGGGGTGGCCTGCCTCTACTTGTCATTTTTTTTTCGATTAGTGGTACTATGCGTGCAAGCTACTGTGACAACAGATATGAGTGGCACTGTACAATTACAGTCAAAAATTATTTTTTTTTTATGTACACTACGCCAGATATGAGTTGCACTGGTGTGACACTGTGCCCTGGCAGGCCCTGAAACGCACACGCATGAAGGAAACTGACTGCTATTATATTACAGTCCAAAAAGTTTTGTTTTTTTTAAATGCAAGCTATTGGGACACCAGTGAGTGAGTGGTGGCACTGGGCAGGCCCTGAAACGCACACTTGTGAAGGAAACTGACTGCTATTATATTACAGTCCAAAAAGTTTTTTTTTTGTTAAATGCAAGATATTGTGACACCGGATATGAGTGGTGGCACTGGGCAAGTGGGCACAGTATACGCTGTGAGCCTGACACACACGCTGGCAGACAACTAACTGCTATTCAATCTATTACAGTCAAAATTGTATTTTTTTTTTTTAAATGTACACTACTGTTACACCAGATATGAGTTGCACTGGTGCGACACTGTGCCCTGGCAGGCCCTGAAACGCACATGCGTGAAGGAAACTGACTGCTATTATATTACAGTCCAAAAAGTTTTGGTTTTTTTAAATGCAAGCTATTGGGACACCAGTGAGTCAATGGTGGCACTGGGCAGGCCCGGAAAAGCACACTTGTGAAGGAAAATGACTGCTATTATATTACAGTCCAAAAAGTTTTGGGTTTTTTTAAATGCAAGCTATTGGGACACCAGTGAGTGAGTGGTGGCACTGGGCAGGCCCTGAAACGCACACTAGTGAAGGAAACTGACTGCTATTATATTACAGTCAAAAAAGTTTTGTTTTTTTAAATGCAAGCTATTGTGACACCAGTGAGTGAGTGGTGGCACTGGGCAAGTGGGCACAGTATATGCTGTGAGCCAGACACACAGGCTGGCAGACAGGCAGGCAACTGCAATTACATTACACAGAAAAAAAAGCAGACTGATGTTCTAGCCCTAAAAAGGGCTTTTTGGGGTGCTGTCCTTACAGCAGAGATCAGATGAGTCCTTCAGGACTGTAGTGGACACTGAAAACACTAGCCTAGCTATCAATTTCCCTATCAAATCAGCAGCAGCTACACTGTCCCTCCTCTCACTAAGAATGCAGCTTCACAATGAATGGAAAATGGATGCTGTCCAGGAGGTGGGAGGGTCTGGGAGGGAGGGTCTGCTGCTGATTGGCTGGAATGTGTCTGCTGACTGTGAGGTACAGGGTCAAAGTTTACTCAATGATGACGAATAGGGGGCGGACCGAACAGCGCATATGTTCGCCATCCGTGGCGAACGCAAACAAGCGATGTTCGCCAGGAACTATTCGCCAGCAAACCGTTCGGGACATCACTGAAAATAAACATATGTTTTGTCTTGTTTTATGGTATCTAAAGGCTCTCTGGCCAGATGGTTAATGGACTCCATTCGTTTGGCATATTCTTCATCTAACGTTCCTACACCTATCTCCATTAAAGCTCATTCTACCAGAGCTATGTCCACATCTTGGGTCCTGAGGGCTTCAGCTACACCTTCTCAAATTAGTTTTGCAGCAACATGATCATCTCTTCACACATTTGCTAAACATTACAAATTAGACATACTGGCCTCGGAAGACGCAACTTTTGGGCGCAAGGTGCTGCAAGCAGTTGTGAAATGAGTCCTGCCCTTAGGGGATTTCTTTGGTTATCCCTGCTGTAAAGCAATGCCTCTAATCTAAAGGGAAATGCATTCATTTTTACTTACCGTAAATTTATTTTTCCTGAAGATTAGATGCAGTGTTTACTTCCCACCCCGATTTTCCAATAAACTAAATTTTGCAGTTATCCGGCTTTTGTATTGTTTGGGGTTCCTAGAGGTAAGAGACACTTTATAGTGCCAAAGGTAATTTGGGTGAGGTGCTTAAAATTTGGGGCAAATGCCTGTTTTTTTCCCCCTCCAGATTAGAAATCCCTGTTGTAAACCAATGCCTCTAATCTTCAGGAAAAATACATTTACGGTAAGTAAAAATGTATGCTTTAACTTACCGTTTTCTAGTGTTGAGACTCCCTTAGCGCTAGCTAGGTCTCCTCCTCCTGCAACATTACAGCAGGGGTGGGACCTAATGCACATGTGCACATTCAAGCTTCCACATCCACATAGGAAAGCATTGAATCATTGCTTTTCTGTGGGGAACCAAAGATGTTAGACCAATGTCAGATAGTGAAATTAAACTTCACCAGGGACCTGGATGCGATTCTGGTGACTTTCTGGAAGACAGCCACTAGAGGTGGAGTTAACCCTACAATGTTTTACATTGCAGGGTTAAACAGACCGGATCACTGTACCCAGACAATTTCAATGAGATGCATGATCTGGGTGCCAAGTGTCCCTTTAAAAGAATCCACAGAGAAATGCTTTCATTTTCTAAAGCTCATGTTTCTGCTATTTGTGGTCCATACAGAACAGACCCAAAGATCAGTACTCAGTTCTTTTTCAGTACAATTTAGATTGTTACAGCAGGGCTCAAAATGTCTAGTCTTATTCCACTACACACACAGGCCTAAATTTTAGTTGCCATTGCAAGTTTGGAGAGTCTAAAGCACTCACTAGAGTTTAGTTTTCACTCAACATTGGTTAGCAGAAACATTGAGCTCTGGTTAGAGTGTGAGGGATATGTACTAACGAGATGCATTCATAAGGTCTAGTTTGCACTAGACACATTTCTAGCATTAAAATGTGTGCCTCTGGGAATTACTATTGGGTACAATCATTACATTTTTTAGATCTGTTCTATAAAGAAGTATTTTATAATATGGCAAAATAAAATAATGTTTCTCACTTGTGTGTAGCCATAGATGGAGAGAATGTCTGCCATTGAGCGTGTTACTGAAGAGAGAAAATGTCCAATGAACCCCACAACTGTATAATTCTTCTTGCAGCTGTAATTAAAAGGGTGATTTGTTCCACCTGATAGAATTTTTAATGTGGCTTCCTGTGCTTTATTGGCTAAGAAACAAGAGTCATAGATTGAATACCCCAGGGTGGTGTTTGGTAGAAGGTTTCTGTCATTATTAATTTCTTGAACAGCAAAATCAAAAGCCAGAAAATGACGGAGGAAACGAAGGGATGGCCTGAAAAGTTGAAGATATATGTTAAATAAACATTTGTCAAATCAATACTATACATATATACAGTGTATACCAATATCTATTAAGTAAGTTACAAATCAGAAAACAGTTTTTGGGGTTTTTTTTGTGGTATTTTTCCTATTTACAATTTTTAGCGATTGACTGCTCAATGGTTCCTAAACTAGACTTCAATGGTCCAGTTATTATCAGAATTCAAAGGAAAACATTAAAAATCCTAAATCCTACATAGGCCAGACATCACTATATTCAAAGAATGACAAAGCTCACATGAGAATTTCTTAATTTCTTTATCTTTTCTGGTATGTGAATGCATGTGTAATTTAAATTTACGTTTATATTGTCCCTATACAATCAAAATAACGTCACTACATTAATATTAAACAGTCACTATAGGCACCATATTGAAGTGGTTACAGTGTCTGGAGTCTCCTGGCTCTCTTCTTCACTTACAAACTACAGACCTACTTGTTCAATTGCTTCCATAATTATTGTTCACTAAGATCCTTGCAGATAGACTACAGCTGTACTTACTAACCCTAGTTCATTCAGACCAGGTGAGCTTTATCGCCTGCAGGAAAGCCAGGGACAATGCAAGGGCTCTAGCACAGATACACCAAGCCCAGTAGAGTTTGTAGTGGAGAAGTCCATTGATCGAGTTAACTGGGGCTTTCTAATCCCAGCACTTTTGGTTTGGGCCTGGGTCCACATATGTTTGCCTGGGGCATGTGCCTTATAGGTCACTCCCACCTCAATGGTTTGCTTAAATGGCACCTTAACTGACTCATTCCCTATACACAATGGCACCAGATAACCGTGTCTGTTATCGCCACTACACTTTGCCCTTGCTTTCGAACCACAATTTCAATTTGCAAAAGTTAAAAGGTACCCTCTGCATTTTATTAGTGACTAGGCTGGAAAACTTGCTACTCACTATTTAGTAAACAGCATCCCATTTATGGGCATAAGGGAGGTGTTAAACCTCTATTATAGTAATGTAGGTGTCATAATGACCCACATAGGCTCTTTTAACGAAGCAAATTCCAATATTTTCAAATATCAGTTTCATTATTCCAACCAATATTTATTGGCTCCCAAAATGCCTTTAACAATAGTAATTTAATCTATCCTAACTGATAAATTACTTGTCAGGAAGTCGATAAACATGATTCACTCTTAAAATAAGGCCTATGTGTCTTATACAACTATATCTCATAATCTCTATATTATCCCACATGGATAAATCAAATCTATCCTCTCATGCAGTTTTGCCCCCTTCCTATTGATTGTAAGCTTACTTGAGAAGGATCCTCATCTCTTGTTTCTATTCACCTAAATGTGTTTGTCATAAATTATCTGTATGATTTTCTTATTTATTTTACAACATTGTGGCATAAGCTTGCACATTAAAAATAAAGGAAAACATTCATTATAAATTTGTCTTTACAATTTGGTATTCAAATATTGTAACTTACATATCACATAGTTTAGTTGTTGAATACACATGGGCACGAGTATAAGATGTGTACTCACTAGAGTAGTAATAGTTAAATAACAGAATAATTCCACCCAAAATCACATCTCCATCTCTGAAATATCCATCAATGTCTTCGACATTAGGCTTCGACCAAGTCTTTGAAAATTGTGCTGCATCTGAACAGTCAGAACATAGGAGTAATATGATAGCCAGAACTTTTAAAAGTTTATATCTGTTGAAGAAATAGACACAGATCAGTTTCTATTTGGTCTAGAGAGAATAAAACCGTTTCAATGATAAAAGAATGTAGTAAGGAAAAGGCTGTTATAGGTCTCCATTCAACAGCCTGTTAACATGTTTAATTGCAGAAAACCTGAGCCATAAAGGATTAATATTGTAAGACTAATTATAAGTTTAGGACATGGCATAAAATGAAAACACTGATATTGTGTCAAGATTATGTTACATATGTTGATATTTTGTTTTTGGTTTTTTTATGTTTTTTTTATTAGAAAAATTCATTACATCCAGTATATCTTTGTTTACAAAATCATCATATTTTAGCTTTAACAAATGTTCCCAATTACATTTAGCCTAATAATCGTTGATACTCACTTCCATTAGGTTGTTCCCTAATAAGTTATTACAGCGAGCTTAGATAGACAAACAACAAAGTAAATATACAATAAGTTAACACCAACAAACAGAAAACAGACAACTTGTCAGGGAGACCTTAGCTCAAAGATATATATATATATATATATATTTATTTTTTTTTTCAGAGTTTGGATATTAATGTTGTTATAAACTCCATATTAATCTTCCAAATTTTGTAAGTAACACCTCCAGCATAGCGGGTTATCTTTGGCTTTAAATTTAAATATTTTTTCAGGATATAAGTGCCATCTATATACAACTTTTGTAATTAAACCTCTTTATTTTACTTAAAAATTGATATGAAAAACAGTAAAGCTAGTTTTGAACAGACTGTAGTTTATTTACTTGTATAAATTAGTCCCAGTAGTCCCCTAATATTTTATACATATTTAGGTACTTCCTTTGTGTTCTTTATGCCTGTGCCTGAGACCTTACCAAGAGAGATTTTAGGTTTAGAGGAAATTATCATTTGTAGTTTATGGCATAGCTTCAGAGAAGGCCTCCTTGCTCTACTCAGGCTTGGTACAGAACCATCTATTTCAGTTCAAAGGTCATCAACACAAACTATCTAAACTCCAAGCTCGTCTTGGCCTTGTGCAGCCTACACAAGTATTCATTTTACCTTACTCTAGGAAAAAAACAGCCGCCTCCCTTGAAGCTCATGGGGCACTTCTGCATCCAGCCCAGTCGTGTTTTTTTCCTGTTGCTGTTCGCACGTTTAGTTGAACAAAACCGTAAGTTTGTTCATGCAGCCCACATTTGGCTATGCTATCACTGACATTCAACATGTATTCGCCCAACATTCAACATTTCCGCGTAGCAGTTGCAGTTCAGTCTGTATTCTACCTTCATTCGGATATAGCGAATCTCCATACTAATGTAAATCTGTCCTATTTCAATCATACGTAGCATCACCTTGATACCTCAATTGTGTTTATTCATTCTGCTTACTGTATTTGCCCCTTATTCGGCCATTTAAATTTTATCATATGCAATTCAGTTAGTCATCCTAATGCTGTGCCATATTCAGTTTTTAATATTTGCAACTTATTGTTGCCAGCCCACACAGCCTTCGTTATACTTTTCAACTCTAAAAAGATCGGCATTTGTTACTTATGTTCACCAGGACTCTTCCAGCCTCAGTACATATATGTATTCTGTATGTATTCAGGCACTCAGTGGGCCCACATTGTTTAGTAATTATATAGCTACATGTTGCAAATGAAGGTATAAATTTTGTCAGGCCCAAACTTGTGCCTATAAATGAAATTGGCATTTATGATACTGCCTGTTAATCATCTGTCTTTTTTCACTGTCTGTCACTACTTATATTGATTTAAGTACTTACTGGGCTCCACACAGGCCTAGTCAAGTGTTCTTTAAAATTGTCGGTCATAATTATGTCTGTTCTGTGGTTATATGACCATATACATAGCCTTCATCTAAGTATGTTATTGTCACACTTCAAATCAAGACATGCCAATAACCAGATCCGCCACTTGGGTGTCACCAATAATCATACTAAATTGCAAGCAGTCTACTCAAATATTTTCTACATACCCCATTTAATTGTATCATTCACCCATAACTTCTCATTATGCCCTGATTTGGCCACCCTGCCGCTAGGTATAGTTGTGTTGGGCTCTCATTCAGCTTCCATTATCATAAGAGAGTGGAGGTTGATCTAAACAGTATGAAATCAATATTTACGTATAAATGGAGTGGTAACTGATATCTCCTTTTTAAATTCAAATATACATAAATACAGTACATTTGAAAATGAGTAATGAAAAAAAGGAAAAACATATCATAGTGCAACCTGTAAGCTAACAGAGAAAGTAAAAAAAAAAAAAGCCTTTCATGCAAAAAATAAAATAAAAATCATAATTATTTATTACATATGCACAATCTAAATACAGTTTGTAGACAATGGCTCCAATGAAGTGTGCAAGTAACTTACAGACTAGAGAACACCCTCGGCTCTATGTATAACGCTCAGTAATGCATATGGTGGTCAATCTTCATGTAAGGTGAAATTATGAAGTACCCACGATAGATGTTGAACATCACACATATATGTTTATTTTAGGCCCTCACTTGGCCTTCTTCAACATATGACTTATACGTGTGTTATCACTTGTATCATGTTACTTAAATGTTTCATCATTATCATCTCTAATAAACAGTCCTACCATTACGGGTCTCTCATGGGTCATGTTTATGTACATGTTATCATATGGAACAGGTCTGCCATTTTGCATTACTTGGTGTAAACTGCAACTGTTACACAGCTCAAGACAAATTGGGCAGACTTGTTGTGTTCCTAGGTAAGTTGCAATCTGCAACATTTTCAGTACCTAAAGCCGTCCTCTACGTATGTAACTGGCCACAGTAATACATTATCTAGACAATTTTCTATTAGTAGAGGAACAGAATAGTAAATCCCAAAGTATTCACCAGACCTGTTTTCTTCCAATAGCCTTCTGCTGTTTTAAGATTAAAATGTAGTCCCCCCTGTAGGGGCGTGGCTGGAGCTCGAGATGGATGGACGCAGACTGAGCGGGCTCCGTCGCAGTGGCCCATAAAACGGCAAATGAAAGCATCCATCTGCACTACAAACGTCCCAAGAGAGCCCCAATAATGTCGCAGAACCGGGTCAAAAAGTCGACTGACACAAAAGAAAAGGCGGCCTTTTTTGCTGCCCGCACGCCATCCAAAGCTGCGAGCCAGCAGGCCCAAGATGGCGCAGAGTCAGATGCAGACAGTGATCACATGGAGAGCAGTGCAGTGACCACAGCAATCCTGCAATGCATGCTGGATGATGTAGCCGGCAAAATGCAGGCAACGGTGAAGTCGGCGATAGAGGAGCTCAGAAAGGACATCATGGGGCTGGGCAGCTGGACCTCACACCTAGAGAACAGGGTGGAGGAAATGGTCACGGCCCACAACTCCATGGAGGATAAAATGGAGGACATGGAGAGTAGGCTGGAGAGGTACGAAAACAAAATAATGGATCTGGAGGACCGATCCCGCCGGAACAACTTACGGATGCGGGGGATACCAGAAGACGTTCCCCAACCTGAGCTCACTGGTTATGTGACAGAGTTTTTCAACGGAATACGGCCTGACATACTGGCAGACATATTAATCCTAGACAGGATCCACAGAGTGGCCAGACCCACACACCTCCCATCAACTGCCCCCAGAGATGTGCTTATGAGAGTGCACTTTTTCCATATCAAGGAACTCCTAATGAAGACCCACCGCACAAAGAAAGACTTACAAGACAAGTTTAAAGATATAATGACCTTTGCCGACCTCTCCGTGGAAACTATGAGAAGAAGGAGAGCATACCGGGAAGTCACGGAGACACTACGGCAGCACTCCATACCATACAGATGGGGGTACCCAGTGAAGCTCCTGATCTCCAGAGGCAGAAAGATATACACGGCGGTTTCTACTCAAAACAGCACAGACCTCCTGCATTCGTGGGGCATTACGATGGAAGCAACTTCGACAGGGCAAGCCCGTGGAAACAAGATGCAGGGGGAGTGGAGAACTGCCAAGCAGAAGTGAAACGCTTTCCGCCCGGACCATTAAACAGACTGGGGACTCCCCAACCTTGACAGCTAGATTGTGAGACCACAGGCTCCAATTATGGGACGTTAACGTGAACACCCCTACAGAGACAAGCAACCAAAAGCTCTGACCGAGCTTGACAATACGTGCACCTCCCTACTGGTATCCTTTTCAGGGGACATGGTGCACCCAGTGGGGGGTGGGTTCGGGTGCGTGGTGGGGGGAAACAAGCCCATCTTGCCATAACCCGTGCCAATGGAAAACAGCCAAAGTGTCCATGAGGCCTAACACCTAGGCCACTCACACACTCAGGAAGGGGACAACACCTGATAACGAGGACACAGGGTGCAAATCCAGGCTGGAAACATACCCCCTCCCCCCGGCTTCTGTCGCTACTCGCAGCAACTGCTATGCAAACTCACCTAAAAAAAAAAACCTAGACAAAAAACAAAAAAAACCGCAGGTCCCACAGCCAGACCCACGTGTCCCGGGCGCCCCAAACCCCTATACAAAATCCGAGCTATGCTTGACGCATGACCAGAACAAGAGTCGCCCCACAAACTGACCAAAAAGCCTCCAAGGTCCCAAACCCATTAAATATTATTGCAAAAAAAAAAATATATATATATATATACATACAACCCATAGCACCAACTTAGAGAGAGCCCAGACCCTTGCGCTGCCCAGACCTGAGCCCGGTCTGACTTGACCTGTCCACCTACCCCCTAAACAAGAAAGTTAAGTCACTACCTTCGCTTTAAGTCATATGAACACCTCAAAGGTTGTTTTCACTTACTGTTTTAAGTTACTGTTTGATATGTTATGTTATATGTTGGTATGCCACTCTGAACAACACTCACGGTCTAAGAATTGTATTATAGTTATTATTGTGATAATGCTAATGTGTACTCTCCTCTCAGATCACACAACAACCTCCAGCACACAAGCACCCAAAGCACCTGACCCACCAAGAAGGAGGTACCCTCAATCTGCCTCGCAATACCCTATTCAACAGGGCATCCTCAGACTACCACACTGCCCGCACTTAGTAGGGATGGCCAACGACATCAGACTAGCACAACTCCCCACCAAACAAAGCATGAAAATATACACACATAACATCAGGGGGTTGAACACCCCACACAAACGACACATGCTACTGAGAGAACTCAAAACCTCACAGACTGACATAGTCTGCCTGCAGGAAACGCACTTTTAACACAACTCCAATCCAATTCTAGGGAAAACGCTCTACCCCCACTAATACCACACCACATCCCCCACAAAAAGCAAAGGGGTCTCCATCCTCCTCAGCAGCCATTTGGCATATGAGGAAATAACGGTGAAACATGACCCCCAAGGCAGATACCTCATTTTGATTTGCACCATAAACAACTCCACCTACACTATTGTCAATGCTTATCTACCTAACGCAAACCAAGGAGGCTACCTACACAATATATTGACACTCATAGCACAGCTCCAAATGGGCACCACAATTATTTGTGGAGATTTTAACCAGATTCAAGACCCAAGGATGGATTTAACCGCAACTCACTCGACACATAGAGCCAAAACACTTCACAAGCAATGCAAACCCCTAACAAAGCTCTTACACGCTTTTGGGCTCTATGACGTCTGGTGAGCACTACACCCACAAGATAAGGAATAAACTCACTTTTCACAGGTGCACAACACGTATACAAAGATTGACAGCTTCTTCTTGCAGGGAACACATCTGAACAGAGCGACCGCATGCGACATAGGGTCCTCTACCTGGTCAGACCACTGCCCGGTGATGCTAACGATCACAGACCAGTACAACTTTAAACACCGCACAAACATTACAGCAGGACCTGAAATCCTACCTCGACAACAACGCCACCCCTGACATATTTCCCATGACACTGTGGCTAGCCCACAAATCGGTGATTAGGGGACTGCTAATCCGCAGAGTCTCCTACCGCACACATCCAAAATCTAAAACGATTGCATGACCTTCACAGAGCCAACCAACTCACCCCATCCACGACCACACACAAAGAGATTACCGAACTACAGAGACAGATTAACACCACCAACTTCCAAAAAGCGGGCTATGCCATCAAAAAACTGAAAGCCACAACTTTCGTTCTGGGTAACAGAGCTAGTAAAGCACTGGCTCACAGAATTATAGACAGACAAGCTCAAACCTGAATTCCCTACCTCCAAACCTCACAGAACCTCAAACTGACGCAACCCACGCAAATTTGTAACTAATTTGCTACCTATTATAGTTCCCTTTACAACTTGAAGGACAACAAAGCGGTAGCGCAACCGACAAAAGACTAAGTAAGGGAATACCTGAACAGGATAGACTTGCCCATGCTCCAAATTACACAACTCACAAACCCTATCATGTCCCAAGAGGTAACTCGACTTATCGAAGCCATGCTGAAGGGGAAGGCCCCAGGACCGGATGGCCTCACAAATAAATATTATGCCACCTTCAAAACTATACTCAGCCAATGCGTGGCACAGGCCTTTAACTACACCACAAAGCAAGGCACTTTGCCGCCAGAATTCCTAGTGGCCCACATCATTACCCTTCCGAAGCCAGGAAACCAACTTCAGGCTCATCTCCCTTCTAAACGCAGATGCCAAACTATACGCTAAAATATATGCTGAGAGACTAAAAAATCTACTACCTGACTTAGTGGCCACGAGCCAAGTGGGGTTTGTGTCGGGCAGACAGGGCCCGGATAACTCACACAACGTACTGGATATCCTATATTACCTCAACCAATCCAAAACACTGTGCATGATGTTATCGCTAGACACAGAAAAGGCGTTTGACCGGTTACATTGGGGGTTCCTCCACGAGGCACTAATCAGATACGGCTTCCCACCTGAGTTCCTACACGTGATTAAGGCACTCTATAGTACACCATCAGCCATGGTCCTCAATGCAGGGTTTAGCTTCCACACATTCAAAATAACCAATGGCACACGATAGGGCTGCCCCCTCTCCCCACTGCTCTACGTGCTGGCTCTAGAACCACTGGCCATAGCCATATGCAACAATCGAGACATACAGGGAATCGCCATGGGGGCAAAGAATACACTCTAAACCTCTTTGCGGATGAAATCTTACTTACACTCTCCAACCCGACAGTATCCTTACCAAATCTCCATAAAGAGATCTGAGAATACAGTGCCCAGTCTTATTACCAACCCAACCTACCTAAAACCCAAGCCATGTGCATCAATATGACTAGAGAGATGGAAGACAGACACAGACGCACTTTCTAGTATGACTGGAGAGGCGACCACCTCACATTTTTGGGCATAAAGCTGACAAAAAGACCCCATGACCTGTATGCCACCAATTACATTAATCCCTTAAGGACCAAACTTCTGGAATAAAAGGGAATCATGACATGTCACACATGTCATGTGTCATTAAGGGGTTAAACTCCTAAGGGAAGTGGAGCACATCCTGCAGACATGGCAGAACAAATTTCTATCATGGCTAGAGTGCATTGCGGCCATCAAAATGACGATACTTCCCAAAATGTTATACATGTTTCGCTCCATACATATACACATTGTAGCGGAGAGGTAGTATAATCCACAGTATCTCCGCTGGGTAACAGGAATAGCATAAAATAATCCAAGGAAATGAATACAGCATACAATAATCCCAGTAGCGTTGTAAGAATCCTTCCATCCCAAGAACTAGACGACACATAGGCTAGGAGTCAACTAAGGTTTTATTCACAGGTCACAGTATTTATCCAAGTCCCCATGCAAGGGGTTTCCCTACTGACATTCCAGGGGTGGGACAGTAGGGGACTACATGGGGAACTGACCAACACACACATTTCTCCCATCATGCACTGCTGTACGAGAGGGATACTCCCATTGGAATATACCATTGGGATTATCCCTCCGTGCAGCAGAGTTTACATTTTACACTAAAGTACATAACTTCCATAATATTTCACTGATTTACACGAATGAACATTCGGTAGATAGCTGGGGACTGAGCGAACAGTTCGTGAGAATACCGCTCAGCTCCCAGTCTAACTAACCGAACGCCGCACGAAATACATATTATTTTCAACACACTGTTAAAATACCGATTAGTATAAGGATAACAGTATTATACTTGGTTCTTACAGCTAAAACAAGGATATCCACACATGCAATACATGTATAGTCTTAAGTGGCAAGTTTTGCCACACACATCCCCCAAACATAATTACAAAGACTGCAGTCAATCCTGCTCAGATTTAGCTGGGGGGGGGGAACACCCCAGAGTCCAAAGAGCGCTGCTGATGAGACCGACAGACAAGGACGGACTGGGATTCCCCAATCTTAAGGCCTATTACCAAGCAACTCAGATAGCTAACATTATCACCATGCACTTTGCCACATACACTCCCCAATGGATGGAGATTGAGGCCAGGATCTGTCTGGGCACCCAAGAGACTTAGACCCATAACTCCCAAAACTTTACCAACCACCAAACTCATGTACACCTGTAAGGACAACCACAGAGACCTGTTCTGCTCGGCAGACAACTTGTCATGTTCTCGCACTGGCAACTGAAAGCGATACTCACTGACACCGCTGGGACTGCCCCCCCACCCACATGGAACACTCAGCTACAAGCACCTCACCTCACAAAAAACAGAACCTACCTGGCGCTTCAAAGCAGACTGGAACAGAGATATAGGCAGACCCCTCACAAAGGAAGAGTGGGACTGCATTTACGCAAACCACATGGGCTCACCTCATGTGCCTCTCACCTGGAGGCCACCAGAAACATGTTATACAGATGGTATATGGTTCCCACAAGACTTAAGGCCATTTACCCAAACACTAGCGATAGATGCTGGAGGTGCCTGACCCAAGAGGGTATTTGGTGGACGTGCTAACTAGTACACCCTTTTTGGAAACAAATAGCAGAGCTCATAAAGAGAGCCACAGGGTGCATACTAGAACACAACATTGAAACCATTTTACTAAAATTAATTCCCAGAGGCCTCTCGCATTATATAGCTAAGATAATATTCCTCACACTCTCATTGGCCAACACACTACTAGCTAAGAACGGGAAGACCCCGCTCATTCCCTCAATGCCGGAGGTATCCGCACTAGTATCGCCCACACTAGATTATGAAATATTGATGTGGAAACAGGTACAAACGAGTGGGGGGAGTGCTGCGGCCCGAGAGCTGTGGACAACTTACATTGAGAACAAAGGAACCATTGACCCCACTAGGCTATCTTGAAACATAGCGACACACAATAAGATACACAAGAACCAGAGAGGACATATCGGTTACCCCAGTTACAGCCCTGTATAACACCCTATTCCCATGTGGGTAGAACATTGACTGTGGGCATTTCCCCATATGCACATGGGGGGACCTTGAGGCTGCACTGGCCTTCCTCAGGCAACCCGACCATTCACCCGCACTCTAGCAAGCCATAACAACAAGCCGCGCAAAGGCGACTCACCAGTACAAAGACACCACCTGCTGCTCCGACAGGGCGAGCTACCACAAACCTAGCAACCCCACACCTATGGGAGAATTGACCGCCTGAATGGCGCATAAGAGACCCTTATGGCACAGGACGATAGAGGGATGGAAACTAGCAACCCACTCCCCTAAGATCCCTTACCCCTCCCTTTTTGTTTTCTGTACCCCCTCCCCACCCCACTGAGCAAACGAAACGCAATATGTGCATGTCAAGAGTATACTCAAAAGATGTTCACAAGGTATTATGAAGGGCAAAATTTTACGCCCTTCCCCCCCACTTTCCCCTTTGTTCCCCAAACCGAATCAAAACTTACATATTAAAAAAAACGCATACAGTCGAACAGCTCGCAAAGGTGCATCAGGCTACAAATGTACTAGATACAAATGTAAAGGAACACAAGCTTAATAGACACTATGTACAGGATGGTAACTTGCACAAAAAGCAACATTGAAAAATGTATTTGAGATGCAACTGTTATCGTTCCTATCCCTTCTTTCCTTCTGTACCCCCAGTTTAAACAGAAAATAAAAATTGTCAAATTGGAAAAAATAAAGTGTAGTCCCCTACTCCAGTTTCATTCTCCTGGGTTTACAACTGGACTCGATATTGCAGTCCAGTAACCCCCTATCCCTGTGGGCAAGGTCCAGCATATCAGGGAAACGTAGAGTCCCTACTGGGCACAGTTGCCTATTCCCACTTGGATCTCTATTCTCTCTGTGGTTCTCTGAACTTTGCCATATGCGTTTTACAACTTCATACCCGATTACTCAGCCTTCTTCTGGTTACCTACCAACAATTGCACTAAGACACTCGATGCTCAGGCTTGAGCAGACCCATTCATGGGGTTCAACTTCCTATCCCACTGGAACGAGAAAGTTATGTTCATTCCCCACTATCCTACTAATCTCGCATTATCTGTACGGACGCTGCTGACAACACTGGATATGCAGCCATTTTCAAAAATAACTGGTTCATTGAAATATGGCCCACAGAGTCACAGAGTCTACCTTCTTTTAGTTAATCTTCAGCTCTCTTCGAATTATACCCCATCATGGCCACTACACACGCCAGGGGGTCTCTTTGGAGGGGGTTGCATGACAAATGCTACTCATACAGCACATGAGCATATTAAATAAATACTAAACTAACAATAATGTTAAACTAACAATAATGAGGGCAATAGCTTCTTGATCCAAGACTAAATCTGACTATCATTCTGGAGTCAAGTAGGAATTTGTTTTCTAGTTTGTTTTAAAGCAAAAGTGCTTTAAACTGTGGTTTTTGTTTTTGTTTTGTTTTTTGCGTTCTTTTGGATCAACAGCAAAAAACAGATGTGAGGAAAGCTGAACTTGATGGACACGTCTCTTTTCAGCCTATGTAACTATGTAATTAGGAAGTTAACTTGGATGGCAGCAACACAGCAATATTACCTTGCCTGTATACACATACTAGGCAGAAACCTTCTCTAAATCACATTTTCGGGTATTCTTTCAAGCACACCCCACGGCTGCCAAACGACCTAACAAAACCCCAACATTTCAGGATCTCATATTGTATTAGCTCATCTCATGGCCACGGCAGATTACTGGCACACGCATCACTCTCTGCCAATACCAACCATTCATATACTAGAGCTCTGATGATTTTCAATAAATTAGTTTCAGAAATTTTAATTGTTAATCAGTACTCGGTCAATACCATGATGTCGTTCACATCCTTTTGCCACCTTAACCTAAAATTAGCTCGCAACACCATAAAACTACTTGGAACAACCATCAACATTTTCAAATCATTCTTTTAGAATAGGCACTGTTTCTGCAGTCTCTAGTAGAATAGCTCAGTGCATGTCATTGATGCATCCCTCAACCTAAGAAGTAATTAACTTAGGCATTTAAAATATTGGTTACATAATGTCAACATGTATTAAAGTGTTACATGTTTTGCCCTCTTTTTACAGGCCTACCTGAACGTCGGTTTCGGCACTCCACAACTTACTCCACCAATTCTATAACTCGGCTTATTGTCCCTGACCACAAATATATATACTATTTTTTGAAGAAAATATGAGTGACAGGCAAAACACATTTCTTTTATTTCTTATGGGATTTATTGCAGTCTTATGTAATAGTTGTCTATGAGGTGCTGTGCTGTACTGGTGCTGTAAGCGCGGTGCTTTACCTTTGTGTTTGTATATGATGTTTGTATCACACAGCTATGTTACATTGCTGCCAGTCACCCCATGTTTGTCTTATTAAGAGTTTATAAGTATGTAGGGGCAGCACCCCTTCCTGTCTCAACAGAGAAATTTGCTTTTTAGCTGATACCGGAAAGGTGATTTGTATGTTTTATAGCCCTATTTAAGGTTAATACAGGGAGTGCAGAATTATTAGGCAAATTATTATTTTGACCACATGATCCTCTTTATGCATGTTGTCTTACTCCAAGCTGTATAGGCTCGAAAGCCTACTACCAATTAAGCATATTAGGGGATGTGCATCTCTGTAATGAGAAGGGGTGTGGTCTAATGACATCAACACCCTATATCAGGTGTGCATAATTATTAGGCAACTTCCTTTCCTTTGGCAAAATGGGTCAAAAGAAGGACTTGACAGGCTCAGAAAAGTCAAAAATAGTGAGATATCTTGCAGAGGGATGCAGCACTCTTAAAATTGCAAAGCTTCTGAAGCGTGATCATCGAACAATCAAGCGTTTCATTCAAAATAGTCAACAGGGTCGCAAGAAGCGTGTGGAAAAACCAAGGCGCAAAATAACTGCCCATGAACTGAGAAAAGTCAAGCGTGCAGCTGCCACGATGCCACTTGCCACCAGTTTGGCCATATTTCAGAGCTGCAACATCACTGGAGTGCCCAAAAGCACAAGGTGTGCAATACTCAGAGACATGGCCAAGGTAAGAAAGGCTGAAAGACGACCACCACTGAACAAGACACACAAGCTGAAACGTCAAGACTGGGCCAAGAAATATCTCAAGACTGATTTTTCTAAGGTTTTATGGACTGATGAAATGAGAGTGAGTCTTGATGGGCCAGATGGATGGGCCCGTGGCTGGATTGGTAAAGGGCAGAGAGCTCCAGTCCGACTCAGACGCCAGCAAGGTGGAGGTGGAGTACTGGTTTGGGCTGGTATCATCAAAGATGAGCTTGTGGGGCCTTTTCGGGTTGAGGATGGAGTCAAGCTCAACTCCCAGTCCTACTGCCAGTTCCTGGAAGACACCTTCTTCAAGCAGTGGTACAGGAAGAAGTCTGCATCCTTCAAGAAAAACATGATTTTCATGCAGGACAATGCTCCATCACACGCGTCCAAGTACTCCACAGCGTGGCTGGCAAGAAAGGGTATAAAAGAAGAAAATCTAATGACATGGCCTCCTTGTTCACCTGATCTGAACCCCATTGAGAACCTGTGGTCCATCATCAAATGTGAGATTTACAAGGAGGGAAAACAGTACACCTCTCTGAACAGTGTCTGGGAGGCTGTGGTTGCTGCTGCACGCAATGTTGATGGTGAACAGATCAAAACACTGACAGAATCCATGGATGGCAGGCTTTTGAGTGTCCTTGCAAAGAAAGGTGGCTATATTGGTCACTGATTTGTTTTTTTTGTTTTTGAATGTCAGAAATGTATATTTGTGAATGTTGAGATGTTATATTGGTTTCACTGGTAATAATAAATAATTGAAATGGGCATATATTTGTTTTTTGTTAAGTTGCCTAATAATTATGCACAGTAATAGTCACCTGCACACACAGATATCCCCCTAACATAGCTATAACTAAAAACAAACTAAAAACTACTTCCAAAAATATTCAGCTTTGATATTAATGAGTTTTTTGGGTTCATTGAGAACATGGTTGTTGTTCAATAATAAAATTAATCCTCAAAAATACAACTTGCCTAATAATTCTGCACTCCCTGTAAGTATGTAGGGGTTTATAAAATACCCCTTCATGTCTCATTAGAGATGTTTACACTTTGTCTGATACCAGCAAAGTTTATTTTATTTTAATGTATAGAAGCCCTATAAAGGGTTTAATGTGAAAGGGTTTATAAAATTGGAATAAAACTAAAGAGCCTCCATTTTGTTTAAATGTACATGGGGATTTAGGCCAGAGTGCAGGTAACGTTCTCTTTGTTTTTGCATGAACTGTGTGATGGACTGCCTGGCATCCCGACCGGTGCCTCCACCAATCGATGCTCCTAGTGCTCACCGAGGACTCCAAGCACTCCACCAGACACCATCAATCAGCACCGTAGACTCCCACAAACCGCCGCAGCTTGGTTGGAGATCTCACCGTCCTCCACCTTCCACCTACCTTGGACCCAAGACCAGGATCCGGCTTCCAGTGGGTGAACCTCTCCTACTCCAGAGAGTATAGCAGGAACAGCTCTTATAAGAGCTAGTGATTATAATTCCAGGGAGTATAAGGAGTATGGCAATCCCCAGAGCTGTCCCCTCCACACATGAGACAAGACTCCATGTTGAGGGTGAAGAGGAACTGATTTTAATGGTGCCACACTTGGCTTTTCATAACAATCCCCATTCAAGGGGCACTCTCTCATGGACCTTATGGAGAACTCCATTACAAAGTCACAGACCAAAAATACCAGTGTTACAATGCATGACACTCCCATATACAATACAATAAGCCTTCCCTTTTATTTAGGAGATAATTGAGTCAAGCACTTTACTAAACTCAATTATCTCAATTAATCACCCAGATCAGTTCAGGGGTTCAGGAATTTCCTGAAAGTCATAGTTTTTACCGACCGCACGCATGGTCCCATGCCCAAAACGGTTCCATAGAATGTGTGTGAAAAATGCAAAAAACATCACTTTCACTGACAATATCATCACTGTGATAGGTTTTACGTTTTTGAAACACTAATATTTGTGTTTAGCAAAGTCTCCCGAGTAAAACAGATCCCCTCCCCCCCCCCTCTATATACAGGTTTAAGGGTGTTTTAGAAAATTACAAGGTTAAACATAGTGCTAGCAAATTACATTCTCTGGACTTTCGGCCTGGGTTGTCAAGCAGGTCCCTCGAATTGCAATTAATAAAGTTACTTAATTATTTAAAAGTAATACATAAATAAATATGCACGTAGAATTTAAATATATATACATATTTATATATTTAAAGTCTACGTGCATATTTCTGTTTATGCAATTATGTATATATATATATATATATATAAAAAATACCAAATGCTCCTGCACTCACGCTTAAATCTCCCGTGGTGCCCGGGTGCTAGCAATAAATAGCCGTCCATCCATATATCCAAATAGGTAGCTGCACTCATGGCTAATAAAAAGTCAAAATTGCAAAAAGGTAAAAGAACCAGCGATCAACGTTTCAGTCTTTTTATTAGCCGTGAGTGCAGCTACCTATTTGTATATATATATATATATATATATATATATATAATATATATATATATAATATATATATAATATATATATATTATATATATATAATATATATATATTATATATATATATATATATAATTTCATTCTAAGTGTATTTTGATATAAATATATATCAAAATACACTTATAAATATATATATATATATATATATATATTAACATAAAAATACAGTTAGAATAAAATTGCATGTATTTATTTTATTTTATTATTTTTACATTTTTAAATTTATTTGTATTTATTATTTATATTTTATAATATATATGTACAACATATATACATATGGAATTTAATTCTAAGTGTTTTTTTATATTAATATATATATATATATATATATATATATATATATATATATATATATATATATATATATATATATTAATATAAAAATGCACTTAATCTGGCATTATATATATTTATTATTATTATTATTATTATCTACTAATATCTTTTTTTTCTATTTCACACACCTACAGATCCAGGCAGAAAGAATATTAGAAAGAAGAGATTTCTGCATAACCACATTGTTCTGTGCATTTTTTTGTAATATTATATTGTACCCTACTGTAACAATGCAGTGTTTGTAGACCCAGGACATACTTGAAAACAAGAGAAATCTCAATGTGTAGCATGAATTTACAAAATATTGGAGTCTAAGTAAATATGCTCTCGTCTGGCATCTAGTGGTTAATAATACATTTTCAACTTTTACTCTTTGGCTTGCTTGAATTACTGGATTCTTTTATTATAATCTGGCTATCAATGGGCTACAGTTGTACTATATAATTCACAATTAACTATTTATTTAGAAGCAATTCTGTATCCAGAACACCACTAGGCCTTTCTAATCAAGAATATAGGTTTTCACCAATTGGGGGTTTATTAACTAAAATGTTGATTTAACAAGTGATGTCTTTTCACCCATGGTTTCATAAATCTAGTTATAATTGTAGATAAGAATTTCCCTAACTACTATAGAGTAGGCCACACCTAGTGAACACTTAATGTAAAATATACATAATGGATTAGATGCACTTAATTGATTGAAACAACTGAGTACCTAAAGATTTAATTTTACACATATGCATACACAACACACACACACATATATATATCTATATCTATATCTATATCTATATCTATAAATAAAATACAGAATCCAGTGCACTCGCTTATTCACTAAACAATGCTTTCAAAATCTTAGAGATTGTAATAGTTTTATTTAAAAACACCTCACCTAGGCAAAAAATAATGGGGGTTTAGTTACATTATATGATCATATATTGCATAAGCCTGCCACAATGTCAATGTACCCCATTCTTTTCAGGTCCTACTCAGGCAGCCTTGACTTGCAGAGAGTCCCAGTAAGGAAGTATTTCCTTAAGGGTAAGCATTAGGCTGCTAGAGTAGGACCTGCCAAGAATGGGGTACATTTACGTTGTGGCAGGCTTATGCAATATATGATCATATAATGTAACTAAACCCCCATTATTTTTTGCCTAGGTGAGGTGTTTTTAAATAAAACTATTACAATCTCTAAGATTTTGAAAGCATTGTTTAGTGAATAAGCGAGTGCGCTGGATTCTGTATTTTATATATTTTGGCCCCAGCAGCACCCTGTAATGTATGCATGTTCAGGTGAGTGCAGCCCTCTTGGTTTTGTATATATATATATATATATATATATATATATATATATATATATATATATACATATATATATATATATATATAGGCAAGTAGAATGGCTGCACTCTCGGATTTCCATATAAAAAATAACTTTTATTATGTTTCCATAAAATCGACGTTTCAGTCCGAGAGTGCAGCCATTCTACTTGCCTATATTGATTGTGAAGCCCAGGCTATGCACCCGGTCTTGGAAGTCTCAGAAACCAGTGTGCAAGGTACAGTTCCTATTTTTTATATATATATATATATATATATATATATATATATATATATATATATATATATATATATATATATATATATAGTGTAGTTTATATACTTTTTCTGGCTATTACAAGCCAACCTGCGCATTTCACTTTCAGGCACATCTTCTGATATTTTTGACAACCCACCTCCCTCCCCTTCTCTAACATCAGTTGTTTTACGTGTTAAACTCTGTCAGATTGATCATTATTGCCACCACCAGTCTTTGTCGATCTTTTGGTAAGTCATTTGTGGGGTTTTTCTCTCATATTGTACTTTTGGCATGGATTCTCAGCTCCTGTTAGGTGTTACTGCCAAAGATCACCCCAATATGTGTTCAGCAACATCTCCTGAGTACAGTGATACCATCCACGCACATGTGTTTTGGGTTCTCTTGGGTCTAAAAGACCTTATTTGGAGGTTGCGCATTCCAGTTTTCCAACTTGGAATTTTCACAGCTGGTCATCATGCACCTATGTCCTATTTGGGACATTTTTGAAGCTGGACAATGTAATTTACACCCTAGGGTGTTTCAAATAGTATTTAAACACTTTCCAGGCACTAATTCTACCACTAGTCTTTGTCAATCGTTTGGGTTGTCATTTTTTTTGTGTTATTTTTCTCTCACATTGTACTTTTGGTATGAATTCTCAGCTCCTGTTAGGTGTTACTGCCAAAGATCACCCAATATGTGTTCAGCAACATCTCCTGAGTACAGTGATACCACATATGCATAGGTCTGTTGGGTTGTTTGGGGGGTGCAATGCCAAACATCTGACATGTGTTTCGCAAATTTGACATATCTTCTTTTGAGGGGCCTTTTTAGATATCCCAATTTATTTTCTTGCCATGAGCGTGCATATATTTGAAAAACTGACACCCCGCGGTATTGTATATGGATTGTTTTAATGCCTTTGATGAAATTGTTTTAGCCAAAAAAAATCAGAGAAAGTGTGTGGTGGTTATTTTTAAATTATTTTTACACACACATTGCTTTTTGACTGTGATTTAGCAGAGCCTGTTGGTCATTGAAAGAAAACACTCCAGGCTGTTTTCTGCAAGCCCTCCTGAGCACACCCATGCCAGTAAATGGGGGTAGAGCAGATGGGGCTACTTTATGATGCCCACCAGCATAGTTAATGCCCACAAATTTTTAAATTCTGGCACATCGATGGGGGCCCATTGCTGCTTTGCCAAAAAAAAACTCCTGCTTAGAAGCACGGAACTGATGGGCATATAAATTAGTTTGGACGAAAATGTTCCCCAAAACATTATCGCCCAGAAACACCTGCATATACTGCTGAGGGCTAAATCCTGCAACATCCACATTGATGCCAGGATTTGCAGTAAAGGGCGGGATATCTGGCTTCTGGCGATGAGGCACTGCCCACTCCTCAGCAGTACTGCCAGCTGGAGCAGCACGTCTCCTTCTGGTAGGGGGACTAGCAGGCACAGATACAACATCACTAGCAGCAGACACTGTATCTAGTAATGTATCTGAGCATCTGGTAGGGTCCAAATCAGGGTGGGAATCAGACATAGACGTGTCAGACTCTAACGCAAGGATGGCATACACCTCCTCAGCACTATACTACATATGTGACGTCTGTGACATGATCACAATCACTTTATTTAGTGATATGTCACATAAATTTTTTTTTTTTAAAATGAACCCCTAAAAATGCACATACAGCAAAAAAGTGTTGCTGTGCAAGATCCAGTGATTATTAGAGATGTGAAATTCGTTTTGTTCCAAATGTCAATTCGGATGCATTTCGGGCAATTCGGACATTCGGATACTTCCGAATGTCTGAATTGCCAAAGTTCCAAATTGCCGAAGTTCCGAATTTCCGAAGTGCCAAAGTTCCAAAGCACAGTATTGCCGAAGTACTAATATACCTACCCAGTGGAAGAATGAAGAATGTTACACTGTATACAAGTTTAAATAAAAAGTATACAAACATAGCCAGGATTCAGCTGCAAGCGTTTGCAACACTTCAAGTAACACACAGTCATATAAAATGTTAGTTACTTAGCCAGTCAATGAAATGACAGGAATGAATAAGTAGATAACTCCCTAATTCCCATGGTATTAGGGAGCTATCTACTAAAAGGCTGAAAGACTTAAATTGGTCTTTCAGACAAATTTACTCATACTAAGTAAAGATTACTTAGTATTAGTAAATTATGCCCCTACTCGCTATACCACGAGTAGGGGCATGTCTAGTAAACAGTGAACAGCCATGTATCACAAAAAAGACATGTCCCCCCTCCCGAGCCCCCACCCGTGCCGTACGAGTGGGGGCTTCTAACCTGAAGGGGGGACCTATTGCCCCACCCCAGCCCCAAACTCTAAGCGGCGGATGGGGGCCCTAAAGTAAAATAAGGGGGGGGCACCTATTGTACTCCCCCCTGGCCACCACCCCTGAGTGGTGGGTGGGGGCCCTAAATACAAATAAGGGGACGATGACCTGTTGTCCTCCACCCCTGAGTGGTGGGTGGGGGCCCTAAATAAAAATGTAACCCCCCAGGTGACTAGGGATCCCCAAACCCCTAGTCTCCCTCTCCCAAAAAAATTAATTAGCCCCTACCTACTCCCCTCACCCTAAAAATAATGAGGGATGACGACCTATTGTCCTCCACCCCTGAGTGGTGGGTGGGGGCCCTAAATAAAAATGTAACCCCCCCAGGTGACTAGGGATCCCCAAACCCCTAGTCTCCCCCTCCCAAAAAAATTAACCCCTACCTACTCCCCTCACCCTAAAAATAATGAGGGAGGACCAATAACTAGGTACCTGTAATGAGGGAGGACCAATAACTAGGTACCTGTAAAAAAAAAAAAAAAAAACTTACCATTTGATGTCTTCTTTTTTCTAAAATCTTCTTTTTTCAGCCTTAAAAAAGGCCAAATAAAAATCCATAATAACCGTCGCACTTTGAAAAAAAAAAAAAAAAAACAGAGCGCAAAGATTTTTATCTATCTTCACCCATGGAGGGCTTTGCGCAGACTGAGCTCTGCAGGGCGGGGGAAGGCTTATAAAGCCTTGCCCCGCCCGGCAATTAGGCTCAGAGCCAGGGCCGGTGCAAGGATTTTTGCCGCCCTAGGCAAAAATAAAATTTGCAGCCCCCCCTCCATATGTCCTGCCCACCATGTGACATCACAATGCCCCGCCCATATGCTCTGCCATATGAGCCAACGCCAGTCTTCACAAAGTGTCTTTTATCTGAAAAGACAGTGTGTTTACATTAAAAAGCCTACAGGCAGGCTATAGACACCAGAACCACTACATTATGCTGTAGTGCTTCTGGTGACTATAGTATCCATTTAATGTGAGGTAAATTAGAGATTAGTGCCACTAATAATATATTGGATTGCCTACTTACCACCAGATGAGGACAAGAGGCTGATGATGGGCTCTGTCTGGGTCCACAGGTCTGGTGTAGAAGAGGCTCTCAGGAGACTGTTTTTAAGAGTGCTCACAACAATTAACAAACAGGAAGCAGCTCCATTTTTTAGGGCCCCTTACACAGCTCAAGGTCTGGGCCCCCAGGGCTTGACCGTGAGTATGCCTACAATGCCCACCCATAAATCCAGCTACATGGCCCACCCGTGAGTTCTCTCACAGGAAGTGGAGTGTATGTGTGTAGGGGATGGTTTATGTGTTATTGTAGAGGATGCAATGTGTGTGTGTGTTCTTATAGAATGTAGTGTATAGGGATACCAATTTCTGTAAGGGATGTAGTGTGTTTATAGGGGATGCAGTGTGTGTTTGTGTGTAAGGAATGCATTGAATGTTTCTGGGTGTGTGTGTGTAAGGGGTGCAAGGTGTGTTTCCGTGTATTTAATTGAATGCAGTGTGTGTCTGTAAGGGGTGCATTGATTGTGTAAGAGATGCATTTTGTTTCTGTGTGTAAGAGAATGAGTGTTTGTGTGAATGTAAGGGATGCATTGTGTGTTTCGGGTGTGTCTGTGTGTGAGTAGGAATGCATTGTATGTTTCTGTGTGTGTGTGTGGGGGGGATGCATTGTGTATGTGTGTAGTGTAAAAGAGAGGGTTTGTGGGGTAGGATAGAGACTGAGAGGGGAGCAGCTCTTTATTTTTTTTATTTTTTTCATAGTGCTCTCCCCCCCTGTCAATTATTGATTTCCCCTTCCCTCCTGTCCCTCCGTGTTCTCCCCTTCTGTCCCTTAGTGCTCTCCCTTGGCCCCCTGTAGTCCCCCCTTGGTGGTCTTCTCACTCCCCCCTTCCCCCTTAGTGGCCCTCCCTCTCCCAAACCCCTTAGTAGACATTCCCCTCCTCCCCCCACCCCCTTAGTGGTAATCCCCCCCCAGTGGTCATTATCCTCTTTCTCACCCCCCCTTAGTGGTCCTTTCCCCCCTTAGTGGTCCTCCCTCTCCCAAACCCCTTAGTGGACCCCCCCTCCTCCCTCAGTGGTCCTTACTCCCCAGTGTTCCTTCACCCCCCCTTCCCCAGTGGTTCTTACTCCCCCCTCCTCCCCCAGTGGTTCTTACTCCCCCCATTCTCCCCCACGGAGGTCCTTACTAGGACCCCCCCCTCCCCTGGTGGACCCTTCCCTCCCCTGTGTTCCTTACTCCCCGTCCTTACTCACACTCCCCCCCCCTCCTGCCTATGTAGCGTGGCCGGGCGGCGCGGAACGCGGGACAGGAACTTCTGTTTCCTGTTCCCGGCCGCCGGCGGACTGAAGGGAAGTGCTCACTCAGTGATCACTTCCTGTCAGTCCGCCGGCGGCCGGGTACAGGAAACAGAGGTTCCTGTCCCGCATTCCGCGCCACCCGGCCATGCTACATTGAGAGCCCTTTTGCCGGTCACTCAAATCCGCGGTGACTCCGGGCACAGGGATCCGGGCGCGGCTGCCTAGGTCGCCTTACAAGTAGCGCCGGCCCTGCTCAGAGCACTCTGGTTGGTTTAAGCCATCCAATCAGAGTGCTCTGACAGGTAAATGAAGAGACTGATAGGCAAGTCTCTACATTTACCTGTCATAGCACTCTGATTGGTTAGCTTGAAATCCAGCCAATCAGAGTGCTCTGTGTCATTTTACACAGCTTGGGAAAGTTCTTTGGCATTTTCCCACGCTGTGTAATTTGACTCATAACAACACTCTGATTGGTTAATTGAAATACCTAGGGAATTAGGGAGTTATCTACTAAGCAGCTGCAACAAAAGTCCCAAAGTTCCAAAATGCCGAATTTGAAATTCACTTTGAATTCTCACTTTAGTGAATAACCTTGTAAAGTGAGAATTTAAAACAAATTGAAAATGTATTACAAATTTTAAAGCAAGAGTAGTCAAACTGAAAGCATTGCTGAAATTTTTTTCCATTTCGGCTATTTTCACCTTACATTTGAAATCCACTTGTAATTCTCTTTGTAGTCTCACTTTATTAATTAGTCCTATCTAAATAAACATTTTAAATTCCCCTGATATGCTTACATTTGTGAACATGCCTGTCTGTTTTTACACCAGTATTTTAGGTCTAATTTAAGCACATAGATATTGTATAATTTCAGCTGGTTTGGCAGATCATCTATTTTTTAAATGGATGCTTTAAGCACCAAAACAACTTTTTCTTAATGCTCCTGTATTGTCAATTTTCAAATCTCTTTTAGGAGTTAAATCACTTTGAGTTATTGACTAATGTGAGAATTCAGCATTAATACAAAGAAAATTGCAATTTAGGCAAACATAGCTGAAGTAGAAGTATAGCTGACTTAAAGAACTTTTCCAGTCTGGTTATTTTTACCTTGAATTTGAAATTTACTTTGAATTTACGTTGAAAAAAAAACAGTTTCTTTATGTAGCCCTAGCAACACCTCCACTAACTGTGACTCACACAGTGCCCATGAAAAAAAGTTAATAAAAAAAAAAACAGATCGTACACCTCAGTGTGTTTACTTCACACATTTTATTTCCTGCTCTGTTCATTAAAGTTTGATATTGGAGGCTGCTGCAGGCTCTAGTTGGTAATTAACAGAACAGGAGATAAAAAAAAAAAAAATATGAAATTAAATAAACTGTGCGATAAGGATAGTTGTAAAATAATAAACGGGAAATATTATGCTGTTATGAGAATTTATACAGGGCTTCGTCATGCCCAAAGGATAAAACTAAATCACATTTAACATCTAGACGATTAATAATAATTGTATAATATTTTACAGGAAGTAAAAATATTGATTTCCCTAGACTTCAAACAGATGGCCACTAATTTTGCAAATAGAAATGTATCACAAAACAGACTAACTTTATACACTGACATTATAGCTGAGACTTAATTTATATTCTGAAATCAACATTTAATATATTCTTTATTTCTATTGCGAAATATTTTGGAGGAGCAGTACATATTTCTGATTTATATTAACTCAATGGGCTGATACAAGAAAACATTTTATTCAAATATCACTTATATTTCCATATGTTAACAATAAGGCAATATGATATTCCTGTGAGACAAACAAAAAAATGTTCTGTGTCTTAAATTACAGCTATGTGACAGCTGGCTATAGTTTGTGTTCTGTGTCTATGGAAATACTGGCTTTATTAACCATTTCAATGCCACAAGGGGCTGTAGCAAGCATGCTGTTCATTGGGATGTAAGCTAAGGAAACCATCGATAAAGGCTGCTGTGGTTGAATATTGTCAGGATGCTGTGCTGTTCTCTTGTGCATGCTTTTTGAAGGGAACACATTATATAATGACCAGTTCAGTTGGATAATATTTTTATATTTACATTAGGCTATATTTGTGCACTTTTTTTTCCCGGTAGATAGATACATTTTGTTTCATGATAAACTCTATGCTGTCAATAACAGAATGATACTTCTGCCATTATGGTTTAGTACATTTTACATTGTTAGTACATTTGAATTGTAATAAAGAGCTTTATTGGATTCAAACTGCTGTGCTTGTGGTTGCTTTACTCTTTGTCGTCTGTGACTATCACCAGTCCCTTTACATATGGCAAAGATTTTCTGCTGTTGGGATTTGTTGTTATGGAAATGTTTCTTTACTGTTACAGAGTGCATTTAAACCAAGAAATCTCCAGATCAGTTTAATATTAAAATTGATTTGTAAATTGAAAAGCAACAGGACTTTTCACCCAACAATTGTATTCACTGAATACCAAATTTCAGTGAATGAAAACCAGATTTTAAAAAAATAAAATAAAAATAAAATAATAATAATGATGATAATAATAATAATAATAATAATAATAATACAAATTTCAACCTAGCTATAGCCACAACCTATTTAAACCTACATTTTAAAGTTGGGTTTTTACTTCACTACAATTCAATGTTTAGCAAATAAAAAAGTGCAACTGCAAACTATGTTTATTTCCTGGAGGTGAATTTCCTTGTAAATATTATACCTTACTTATATTTTATATTTGTTGGTTTTATAATTACATGTATCAGCTTATTCCACGGTGTTGTACAGTGAGCAAACAAAACAAATGACACAGTTACTTTATACCAAATAACCTCAGGACACAAACAAGAGGTGATAAGTATCCTTCTAAAATGATCTTGCGATTTAGAGCAGGGGAGTCCAAATGGAAGTCCTAAATGTCCTATTATACTATGCCAGCATTAAGGCATTAATTGCAAAATTACTATTTATATACAAGAAATACTCTGATGATAGAATCCAGCCTTTAATGTCAGCATTAACCTATCAACATCATATCATTATTGAATAAAGAGTAAATGTATACAGGAGTTTATCATGCCCGATTATTTTTTTGTTCTAAAACAACTACATAACTGCTTCAACATTTCTCTTACTTTAAGCAATATTTCAATTGAAAAACATATAAAATGACATGTTATAATACTTACATAGCCATCAATGTATTGAAAAGCACAGTAATAATGATCATTTCAAAATCTTCAAGGTTTTAACTTGTAGATGGGAGTTGGAATATTTAGTAGGTCAGTTGATGAATCAACGGATCTTGTACACTATTGTTTAAAGCTTTTCAGCTTAAGAAGAAAAACAAAATGATAGCATACTTTTCAAAGCACCACAACCTTATAGCTTTTGATGATGTGATCCACGGACGGAAGCAGTTCATAGGCAGATGTGCAAAGGCTGATGTGCTGTAATGCACTTCTTAAGTAAGTAAGTAAGTAATGTATTTTTACATTCTAAATTAAACTATGCACTGAGTATTTTGCCAACTTGGGGGTGTAGCTTCAAACTATTTTAAATAGTATATAATCACAGATCACCTTACAATTATGGTACAAATGCATAACGTAGATCAAAACATGTTACAGTAAAGAAAAAAGAAAAACTACAATGGTATGATCAATCAATATACTCTGCTATTTTTTCGTAATTTTCCATGAGTCACAGTGTTCTTAGAAAAAGTTTTAGATCAAGAGTTAGGTTTATTTTTCTTATGCATAGTTAATATTTGTGAACGAGTAAAAAGATGTAAATAATATGAAAAATATACTCCAGGCTTAGTTGAACCTTATTTTGTCAATCTTTATTTTTGATGTGCTTAATTAATCTTATTGTTTATAAAGCACCAACAAATTCTGCAGCGCTGTACAATGGGTGGACTAACAAACACATAATTGTAACCAGACGAGTTGAACGCACAGGAACAGAGGGGTTGAAGGCCCAGCTCAATGAGCTTACATGCTAAAGGTAGTGGGGTAGAGTGACACATGGTAACGGTAGGAGTAGAAAAGTAGGTTGGTAGAATAGTATTTGCTGAGGACTTAGTGGTTTGATGACAGTTGCAGGAGAGGAATCAAGGTGCAGGAAGGGCTATCAATAGTTTAATTGATACGCTTCCTGAAGAAGTGACTATTCAATGATTTTTTGATGGAGTGGAGACTGGCTGAATGTTTAATAGGGAAGGGAAGAGAGTTCATCTGGAACGATGCAGCCATAGAGAAGTCTTGAAGGCAGTGGTGTATTTTGCAGCGTAGTTGATTTTGCGAGGTCGCCCCATTGTAGATCCAGATAGCGACAATATATCCACAGGAGGTGACCTGTCTCTGGTTTCTCGGGCTTCCCGGGTATTCTGTGCCTCCGTGGCTTGTGCCAAGATCTGTACCACGATCTCCGGTGTAGGGTTAGGTCCTACCAGGCTGAGTCTCCATCTCACGTCCGTTTGGAACTCAGCATTCGCCATTTGTTGTTCGCTGGTTTGATCGCTCTCCAGTAGTTCAGCTATTAGCGTGGCTTTCGATTTATTGCTTGCCACTATGTCTCGAGCTTCCAGCAGTTCTTTCAATGTTGTTCGTTTCAAGTGTTCGTATCTATGCCCCATTCACTACTTGTTTCGGTTCGGTACATCTGTTCGGGAGGAAATCCCGCTGCTTGTCACCAGTGTAAAGGATCCTGCTATTCGTGCAGCACTGATCCTTGTAGCTTTTCCCGAAATCCTAGCTGAAGTAAAGTAAAGTAGTTATTGTAGCTCCCAATCCCCCAAACATGAGTCGAGACTTCATGAAGGGGTAAAACGATCTGCTTTATTGATGGCCAAACTTAGCTTTTTTATGATGGTCTCTCAGCAAGGGAACTCCCACATGGGACCTTGTGGAAGACTGTGACAAAATATACAGAGCCAATCAGTATACAACACAAAAGTTAAACACACCCACAGTAATAGTGCAACCCCTCCTCTCTATCCTGGAGATAATGAACTTAACCGCAAGGTCTGGGCGGTAAATGAGCTGCACACAACCTCAGTGGGAGGTCGGGAGATTCGGTAGTTTGTTCGGTTTATTGCAACAGCACGAAATAGCCATCCATTCGAATAAATAGCCTAAGGGCTGTTTCTTTGAGTCTGTTCAAACAGGGATTTTGTTACAGTTATTCTTTGATTCTTTCTAATATGTTTGTTTACAATGATGTAACGCAAAATATTTTTTTCACAGGATATATGGTGCTGTTGCTGGTTTGGGTTACTTCTCACTTTCACCCTCTTAAGAAACCTTGCTTCAGCTGTCTATTGGGGATCTCCAATCTCCACATACATTAAATTGTCATGCATTTGGGACTTGGTTATTTTATCTAAGCACAGAGTATTTCACTAACTGTAATAATAATATTTTATATAACATGTGACTATTGTGATATTAATTTCACTGATTATATAATATTTTATTGCTATACACGATTTACTTGTTTATAGAGGTATCACATTTTGGAGAGAACGACACTATGGCACTATATCTAAACACTTTATTTAATATATACACTGTGTCTCTAATTGAGACAACTTTCTTTACTTGCACTTAACTGCATATTGCACTTTAATTTTTCACTTGCACTTTAATGTAATTTGCACCTTATTAGATACACACATAGTATTAGTAACTAAAATCATTTTTGGATATCATGTTTTTTATATCAAATATCTGTTTTAAAAAATTTTTGTAAGAGCTTTTCTCTTAAATGCACTTGAAAAATATTTTTGTACAATAATTACTTAGTCCCATTTATTTGTATATTGTATATACAATATATGACTTTATACATATTGTAATACTTATATTCTCCCTTATGGAAATTTTCTTTCAAATGCACTTCAGATATTTTTATTGTAGAACTTTATTGTATAAAATAACGTATTGTAGTCCCATTTATTTTTATTTTTTTATTTTTTTATTTATATTTTTTTATTTTTCAGTATGCATAAATGAATAACAATCGTTTCTCATATTTCTGAACAAGTCAGGATGGTTATAAATCATTTTGTCAATCTTGAGAAAGGGTTTACAATAACATAAGTTTTGTAATTCATAACAATGTGTAGACAATATACCAACAGTGTATATGATGTAACTTCACTTCGGTTTACAATGGCACAATCAAATAAGTATATTTATCGGGTATAGTACAAAAATATATCAAATCTATGTTGTCTGAGTCAGAATTTGGGTGAGATTAGCAATAACTAAAGAGATCATTAGGTTTGTCCTTGTTTTTGGGTTTTGTGTTGTTGTCTGTATTTAATGAGTATAGTGTTAACTTTCGGTCATACCGTGGTGTGCTCTCGATTGCGTCCCTTTCCCTACTCCTGAGTGCTTTTGTCTATAAATAAGTTCCAGGGTTCCCAGGTTAGTTTATAATGTGGGTATCTATGGGTGAGTGAGAAGGTGAGTTCTTCCATAACCCTAGTATCTTCCACTTTTTGTATCCATTCCCTTACTGAGGGTGCGAGAGTCTGTTTCCACTTTATAGGTATTAGTAAGTTCGCTGCAGTCAGTAGATGATGGATGAGGTGGAGTTGTGGTTTAGGGATGTCAGTGGGGGGTAGCAAGAATAGGCATGTTTCTGGAAGGAGGGGTAATGATATGTCTGTGATGATTTTAATCAGGGCTGAGATTTTTTTCCAGTATGCATTTATTATAGGGCAGGACCACCAGATGTGTGCTGATGTAGCTGGGGTATGTTTGCATCTCCAGCAAGAGTTTTGGGTGTTTGAGTATATTTTACTTAATTTGTCTGGTGTATAATGCCATCTGGTGATTTTTTTGTAGTTACTTTCTTGTAATGTGTTGTTGGTTGAAGTGGAATGGGCTTTAGTTAGAATTTTTGTCCAGACGGGGTCGGGAATTGATGTGTTCAGGTCAGACGCCCATGTTTATGTGAAGGGTGGAAAAGTAGTATTGTTGTCTTTTTGAAGGAGTTTGTACATAGTTAAGAGGAGTTTGCCTTTGATCCCCTGCGTTTGGCATAAAGTTTCGAACTCCGTCTGTGACCAGAGTGTCGTTAGTAGGGTATTGTCGGCCTTAAGAAAGTGTGTCAATTGTGCGTGTTGGAAAGTATGCATCGTTGTTATCTGGGAGTCAACTATGAGGTCTTTCACTGGTTTGATGTTTCCCTCTTGTATCACGTCTTGTAGTGTAAGTTGTTGTGATTGTGTGTTATGCTGTAGGAATTGAGTTTTGCAGCCCGGGGGAGAAAGGGGGTTGTTTGATATCGGGTATAGTGGGGATGGGTGTGGGGATAGCACTGGGGAGGCCCTGATTTGGTTCCACACCTTCAGTGCGGGAGTGATGGTCGGGTGTTGGGAGAAGGGCGGCTTTTGTAACATTCACCCTTTGGGGTGCCAGACTACATTGTGTGCGCGTGTTAAAAGGAACGTCTCTTCTATAGATCGCCATTGTCTGTGTGGGTGTGGTGCTGTCCACTCATACATGCGATGTAGTATGACTGCCTTATAGTAGGTTTCAACATCAGGTAAGCCCAGGCCCCCTCGGTTTTTCCTTTTAGTTAGAGTTGTGTAACTGAGTCGAGGGCGTTTGTTCGCCCAAATGAATTTCGAGAAGAGCCGTCTCACAGCAGTAAAGAAGGCTTTTGGGAGTGCTTTTGCGACAGGGTATAAAAGGCCCCTTCCCCCTGTATTACTTACTCTTTCTTTGCTGCTCCAGCCAAGGCACAGGTCAGAGTAATTTGCTCCACACTGTTCATTTATTGTAATATCTATTTGCACTTTATTTGAACATTTGTGTATTGTTATTTATCCCCTGCTCCCTTTCTCCCTTTCTCTCTGCTTTACCCCTTATGTTGGTTTTAATATTGCTTCATCTGTGTTTTCTGCTGGCCCTGTGTTTCCCCTGTCATTACCCTCGCTTGGATCGCGGCTTTTTACCACAACCGCATCTTCTCTACTGACAGGGTTCTGGGCTTCAAGGCAAGGGTGCTGGGGGTGGGTGGCACGAGGGGGCCCTTTGCCATGCCGTTAGGCAGCGATCACGTGCCGCACGGAATATTTGGATCCCGCGGCACCACAAGATTCACGTCGGCCATCTTGGTTTCACCAGTTCATGATTCCCATGAACTGGCATAGCTTTTCTCTGCAGTATTTTCTTATAAAGGTAAACATTACTTTTCCCTGAGGTGTGTGCACAATGGAGGTATAAATAGACATGCAGGATGTGTTTTCTCCATGATTGCGGATTATAGGTGCTGGTTAAAAGTTTTCAACTCTCTGTCAGGGTGGTGGTCCGGTGCCCGGGACCCAGACACTGTCCGGGCGGCGGTGCGAGGACCAGGACCCAGTATGCCTGATGTTCAGAGTAGGAGTCACAGTGTGCAGGCGGATTAGCAGGGTCTGGTGCTGGGTAACTGCACGCCCCCTGGTGTTGAGCACCAGCGTTTGTGCAGCCACATACTAGAACCCTGATTCAGCTTATGCGGATCCCAGGAACTAGGAACTTGGAATTAAGCAGACCTCCCAGGAGCTGAATAGGGAGGCTCTGCAGCAGGTTTGTATCCAGTACAGAAACAAGGCAAGACTAGAGATAGGCACCATACATGAAAACAAGACAAAACTAGGAGAACAGGGCAAGACTAGAGATAGGCACCATACATGAAAACAAGACTAAACTAGGAAAACCCAGAACCAGAGCAGGACAGAAAGCAGAACATGTACACAAGACATGAGGAAAACAAGAACATAACATAGGCATGACTGGACAGGACTGTACATGGACTGGGATTACAAAATAAAACTGAAGGAATATTGACCCCTTAAGGACACATGACATGTCATGATTCCCTTTTATTTCAGAAATCTGGTCCTTAAGGGGTTAAACAATTAATCTGTCAGTATTTCAGAACTGCTTGCAAAACATAATTGAAAGGAAGTCACAAGCTATGACAGTTTCTATGTATCAGGAAATGCCTAACCACAATGTATATGTGATATTTTGTAAGATTAGATTATTGAATGTAACAGCAGAAACTACTTCCTCTTTTATGTATCTTGTGTAACCTTTTTGTAACCTTTTTGTAACCTTTTGTAACCAATATTCGTGACAAGTATAGTATAAATATAGCGAATCTTGAATAAACGATCAGAAGATTATGGAGAGCAAAAAGTGTGTGTCTGGTTAATACGCTTCCATAAAAATCTTCCCTGAATATTCAGCTGACAATCGAGGGTTGGAGAATAGTGACCAGAGGGACCGAGTCACCAGAGTAGCAGATTTACCTTTCAGCTTGGTGTCAGAAGTGGGATTGTAGCCAAAACCATTTTGGGTGAGTAGTAATTCCTTGTGTCTATCTTGACGCCCTGAATCTATGATCCCCATGGTTTTGTAAGTCTACATCATTTTAGGAAAGGTTATTTAGTATATGTGTTTTCTGTGACTCAGTTTTACATAAGGTCCCGTTACATTAGTCTAGTAAGGGAACTAGACAGAGAGATATATGTATTTCTAGTAAGTGAACTAGAGAAGGTCTAATAAGAGAATTAGACAGATAAAAGGAAGTCTATAAAGTGATATAGACAGAGAATTTAGTATATAAGTGAATATACTACGATAGTGTGCACAGAGTTTCAGGTTCACCTTGTCCACCCTCTAATTGTCATTAGTTAAGTCTGGTTGTGAGTGTGAATAAGTGTTTGAAAGATTTGTCCTAGGAATGGGAAATTACCATGTAAGAATATGAAGTAGTTAACTTTTCTTGTTCATGTGTATTTTATGCTTAAATAAGGTTTATAATCAGTAGTGCTGACTGTAAGGATATGAAATAGTTAAACTCTTTTTGCTTTATATGCTAACCCTGAAAATATACTCACTGAGAATCTTGTTAAAGCACATTTGTAGTGTCCATGTCTTTATTGCAAACAATGATTCTCCATCAATTGGGTGATTGTCTATATTGGGGACACACTTTGGTAAGTTAGTAGTGTGTCCACCCTGAGTCAGCAGTATGGGAAATGTAAGTTCTGGTCCTGAGTGACCAATATATATACATATATATATATATAATAGCAGTACTGTATATTAGAAAAGAACTGACTCGCAGGTTGTACCTGATAGACCTACTTAAATCTTTTGCTTTATTCTTTCTGTTGCATATAAGTATAAGTTTATTACTCTGTTGTATTGTAAGTTATTTCACATGGGATCTGTGTGCCTGGTATGATTGTTGCTTTAATACCATAAGCCCACTACACTTTCTATGAGAGTGGGATAGTGTAAATGTGTTGCATTGTTTGCATGATGAGCTCAGTATTTTTATAACTGAGACAAAATGTCACTTCATTAGTATTTGAAAGTTAATTCCCCATATGGGATTAATTGTATAGAATACCAATCAGCACATCTTCCCTGCCCTGTGTGTTTGTTGCAAAGGATCCATACTGTAAATATAATTTTTGTTTGTTAATAAGAGAGCAACATTTACATTTTCAGCGGTCCAACACATGCTTCATTTTGCGCTGTAAACTAACCTTTTTATTGCAACAGATTCCTTTTAAATGATCCAGTGTAATAATTACTGCATATGTTTTGTGTCTTCTATGTCTCACATTATATGTGTTCTGTTCTTTTAAATTGTGGTATATAGCCTGGATCAGAGATTATTGACAAAGGTTTCTACCTGTTTTACTAAGGCTCTTGGAGACTGACCGGTCTAAGGTTTGCCATGCCTTTTAAACATGGTATAGAATAATTTTTTTTTAAGTCTCTGAGAGTTCTGTAAGATTCTGGTGAAACCATGTCTGTGTAATCTGGTCCAAATGTTTGCTCAATTTCTATAAGATTTAAGTTGATGCAGTATCATCTCAGATTAGTTAATGGAAGTTTCATACAAATATTTGAGTTATGAGCGCGCTATATAAATGGATCCTTTCTCTGTATACAATACTATAGTAGATTAAAGTAATGAAGTTAATAAGAATAAAAAAAAATAAAAAAAATAAAAAAATAATAAAATAAAGTATACATAAGAATCCCTAAAATAAATCTAATATAAACTAAAAATGGTATACCTTATAATATGTTCTGAGTACAGCTGTTAACTGTTTATTCTGTGTAAATGGTGACTGTGATAATGTGTGAAGTGTGCAGCTTAACTGGAAAGTGGTTTAATTTATATGTTGCTGTGTTGTTTTCTGATTGTGTTCTGATATAGCTATATGGGAATGGAGATTTGGAGGTATTAGTTTAAGACTGCTTTCATATTGTGTCTACCTGTGTTTCCTAGGAGGGACACAGAGTGTGTAGTTGTGTGCTCATGAATGTGTTTTCTGTATTGGCATATCTGCTGGGTACCCGATACGTGTATCTACTAAGTCTGTTTTGTGAGATGTCTGTTTTGTGAGATGACATGTAATATTACATTGAATGCTGAGTATGAGTTATATGGTTTGAAATGAATTGGTGTGTTATGTGTTTCATGTATTTTATTGTCCATTGTGTAGGAGTTTAACTAGCAGAGTGATTTGCATATCATTAACGCAAGCATTTAGTGTTTTTACAAAAGGTGAAATGCTGTCCAGCCGGCTAGAATGAAACAATTGTATGCTATCGCTCATGGAGCACGAAAAGCGCTTGTTACATCCCACGTGAAAGGGGCCCCGCAAACTTCTGCTGTTCAAATCGTGGCTCCACATTTCCATTTGCAAACTGATTAATCCTGAAAGTCATTCTTTTACTGATAAAAAGGATTGAATGGACAAGATGTCTCTCCCTCATAAAGGAGTTCTAATAGGGGAGTATTGTCCAGCTCAGAGTTAACTATACTTTTAAAGTATATTGCATTGTTTGTGTCAAAGTAAGATTCATCTAGTATGCCTCATTGATTATGGGGTAATAATAACATGGTATTTTAATAGAGATTAGACATTTTCTGAAATTTATAAGTGAGGTAATTTTAATCGCCTAAACTACTGTATTATATTTGTATGGGTAAATTGAAAGCATTTTGCAGATCCAGAAGAGCATTAATAAATAATATAATAATCTCACTATGTGCCAATTTATGCAAAGAGGCTATCCAAAGTACGCACTAACGGGTTAAACTTGTTTTCTTGATAAGCGTATAACATTTAGTTTTGTGGTTAGACTTTTGATACTCAATTTGAAATATGTCCCAATTACATCCTTGCATGGCACCAGGTACAGGTAGCAATATGTGTTTTAAAAATTTGCAAGGTCTTAGTGTTTTCAATATATTATAATAATGGAAAAGTACCTAACCGCATGTCTGCATTACGCTCATGACACAGACTGTCAGTATTGCAAGCCCTATATGAAGGCTATGCTTTCATTGTTGATGTATATACCCCTAGACAACCTTGCTTTATATACAAAATTTAACTATCCATACAGCCTTTAAAAGCTTATTAATATTATATCTGTGTGGTACACAAAGAGGGGGCTGTGAGTTAGGTAATCCCATCCTGCATATGGAATAAAGGCAGAGGTAGAGGATTTAGTCAAAGGGTCTAACTTTTGTAGAGGTAACAACTTCAGCATTGGTGGAACACACTGTTCTAATTGTGGATAGCAGGGTCACTGGAAAAATGAGTGCCCAAACCCACCCCCACAGATTCCTCAATACCAACCATAGCTTCCAACCTATACCCACACCCAACAACCCCAGCCTAATACACAGATGGTTCATGTTTGTAATATTTTATATAGGTTTAGGTGTTAATCCAAGAGTATTGAATTATTCGGGATTATTAAAGTAATTAATTTTGAATATCAAATCAAGGTTCCAGTTTAGGAACAGAGTTTTATTGGGAATTATCCCCATATGTATATGTTAGTGTTTTAATATTCATCCTAACAAGGATTTCTATAGAGTGAGTGCTACTCTCATCCGTGCAAAGGCATTCCAAAGGGGTATTATGTAAAACTTTATAGAAGACAGATTGCATAAAATATAAGAGAAGTACATGTTACACAAATTAAGGGTTTAACCTTAATCTCTAATTTAAGTTTTAGCCTAGGTAATTAATTCATGTTGTATTGATCCTTGTGTTTGTATGATTGTAGAGACCGTCCTGGAGTGTTTGTGCCGCCTGATTTCTGGGACTACACACCAATCTCTCTGGCTGACCATGCAATAAGTATTTTGCAATTACGTCTGTTTGGTCATAATCCATGCAGGCCGAAGAAACTGAGATACTTATTTATGAGGACATAAACTTTGCACGCAAGAACCTGGAAAGTCCTGAAGGTGCAGTGCTGTCTAATGCCGCTGGTTCTGTAATAACCCTTTCAACCATTGGGGTGTTGCACAGAGCTTTGTGGTGAAAATCCAGCAAACAAAAGAAGAACTATATGGAAGCTGACATTGTCTTGTTGTCAGCCATATTGCTACCCTTAGCCATTTTTATGGAACAAAATGTCTGGTGTCTAAACTGATTTCTTTATACTCTGTGAAAGACTTATTCTATTTTTCTGAACTATGCTGAACTATTGAACTATTTTTATTTTTATTTTTGTAGAGTTAGCCAGAGAGAGAGGAAGTGTTAGCTGACCCAGGGATGGATGTACTATGTGTGTTTTTGATATATGTTGAGTGTGCCAGGGATGGATTCCCATGTTTTGAGGAACTGCGTGAGGATATGACTGGTTTTGACTGGACTTTTGGAATAGGGAAATGGTTAAAAGATATAGGACGCAAGGTCCTGGTTGTGCAAAAATATAGTTGCTATAAGCCCAAGTTCCATTCTGTCTTAAACATCCATTTTCTATATATCTGTCTGCAAAAGTATTAAGTGGTTTTTGTTTTGTTTTTTTTCTGCTGAGTTTCTGTTTCTTGTAGACCACATGATTGCTTGGGAATGCCATAATGTGGAAATTTCTCTGTCTTGGGAGAATGTTAACCGATGATATGAGCAATATATATTGCTCAAAGAGGGGTAACAATTGTGATTATTGGGGCTCAGTTGGATGGAACACCGGGACACATTGGGGTTATAAGCCACAGAATGCATTAGATAAAAAGGATACGAATGGGAAGTCCCTCTTGACTAGAATGACCTTAACAAAGCCAGGTACATGTACCCCTATAGGGCAAACTGGGCACGCCATGAAATTTACCTTAAATATTGAAAACCCCAGTCCTGGAGATCAAGGTATTTATATTCTCAGTACCTTTTTAAGAGGAGGTATTGGAGGTGATTGAGGAAAATTCCAGTTAAAATATATATGGAACTCCTCAAAATGGGAAAGCCTCACCTCTAGACAAACTCTTGTTAATCCTCTAAAGCCCCACATTCAAACCCTTGGTGATATGATGGCCATAGCAGATCCCACGTTTGGAGATACCACAACGTTAGAAACAGGGTATGCAGATACAAACCTATGGCTGGAATGGTTGAGATATAATGCCCATTCCAGCAATAGGTCAAACTGTTATGTATGTGGTAGTGCCAGACCTCATCTAGGAACTGTACCCTTACATGTCCCTGATGAGTACTGGGAATGTTTCCTAAGTTTGTTTTCAGGTATCACTGTTAATACTACAGAATGTGAAGAATGGAAAAAGGGTCACCCTATTGGTGAACCCAAGTTTAATTTAAATGATGTTGTCCCAGTATATCCTGGTAATTATACTTGTTTTCAGGGAAATAATAATGGTAAGGTGGGTACACAATTTGATAACTTTTCTTCAGGATTCTGCTCCGCCTACAGTAATATAACCTTAGTGAATCAAACACAATCTATATAAAAATACGTTCTAGACTCCCCACTCCCTGGAGAGGAGAATGTGCCCCAGCCAAAATAATCATGCCCCTCCATATATTTGGCGACTCTCTCCCTGAAATTAAGGTTGTAACTGATTCCACAAGAAGGAAAAGGGAATCCCCACAAGGTAGTTTCGACCCACATATCTATCTAGATGCCATTGGTATTCCAAGAGGGGTTCCTAATGAATTTAAAGCTAGAGACGAGGTGGCAGCAGGATTTGAATCAATATTTCCCATTATAACAGCTAACAAGAATGTTAACTGGAATAATTATATATATTATAATCAGCAAAGATTTGTAAATTATACACGAGATGCATTACAAGGTCTTGCTGAACAATTACAGGCTACCTCACAAATGACTTTCCAGAATAGAATGGCCCTTGATATGATTTTAGCAGAAAAGGGAGGAGTCTGTAAATTACTTGACTCCGGTGTTTGTTGTACCTATATTCCAGAGAACACTGGCCCTAATGGTAAAATAACCCTAGCTATAAAGAAATTGGAAGACCTATCCATAGAAATGAAGAGGAATTCAGGTATTGATCACCCATGGGCAGATATGTTTAAGTTTGACAGTATCCTAGACTGGCTAAAGAATATTGCAATACTTATTGTTATGGTTCTGATCCTTGCTCTACTTGTTTATGCTATTTTCAAGATTATTGTATTCTGCATTTACAAACATACACGCAACACTGTTCCTGTAAAATCCCCAGCTTGAAATGATGAGTATCTCCAAATGTATACACATAACCGAAGCAATGGTGAACATACTGATACAGATCTATAAGTTTGTGGTGCTGGTCAGATGCCTAGTCCTATGCTATGGGAATAGTGGCCGAAGACATAATGAAAGACCTGCAGGATTGGCTAGCAATCCTGAATATACCATGGCAGATGGCTGGTTGTCTGACCAGGACTCCTTAAATAGGGTATGAGCAAGATATTGCTCAAAGAGGGGGAAATGAAGGAATATTGACCCCTTAAGGACACATGACATGTCATGATTCCCTTTTATTTCAGAAATCTGGTCCTTAAGGGGTTAAACAATTAATCTGTCAGTATTTCAGAACTGCTTGCAAAACATAATTGAAAGGAAGTCACAAGCTATGACAGTTTCTATGTATCAGGAAATGCCTAACCACAATGTATATGTGATATTTTGTAAGATTAGATTATTGAATGTAACAGCAGAAACTACTTCCTCTTTTATGTATCTTGTGTAACCTTTTTGTAACCTTTTGTAACCAATATTCGTGACAAGTATAGTATAAATATAGCGAATCTTGAATAAACGATCAGAAGATTATGGAGAGCAAAAAGTGTGTGTCTGGTTAATACGCTTCCATAAAAATCTTCCCTGAATATTCAGCTGACAATCGAGGGTTGGAGAATAGTGACCAGAGGGACCGAGTCACCAGAGTAGCAGATTTACCTTTCAAAAACAAGACAAGAGATACAAGGTGAAACAAGAGGAGACATAACTAGGCACTATATATGAAAAGTATGGGGATTTAGTTACATTATATGATCGTACATTGCATAAGCCTGCCAACAACGCCAATGTACCCCATATCTGGCAGGTATCCTACTCTGCCTAATGCAAGCTAACCCACCCAAAGAAAACACACATAGTACTTACCTGCAAGAAAGGGCAGAGACTTGAAACACTGCTGCAGGTCCAAACTGAAACAAAAGGAAAATGGGAAAAAAAAAATGGGTGTGGCAACATAAAGCAAACATTTAAATGAATCCAAGAGACTGGGAAATCCAGGGACGGAATTTAAGAATGAACCCAGAAACCCAACATAAAGAAAACCAGACATGGAATAGAAAACCAGAAAAAACAAGAAAAACTAAGCAAGGATAGTAAAAAGAGTACTGGATACCAGAAGCCATTGCCAGAATGATCCGCAACGAGGAACAGGATGTGACACTCTCTCCTACACTCACTAGTGTTCACCTCCAAGGATATAAGCCCTCTCCATTGGGGCAACAGCATTCAAATACCATATGTGGGTGCACATAATTGAATATATTACAGGGATGCCCCCCCCCCTAAGCTGGGTGACCCCCAAGCGAGTCTGCACAGGCCTTTTGGTTACAAGACTCGCTTGGGGGCGACCCCCAAGCGAGAACTGCACAGGCCTTTTGGTGGCAGGAATACTACAGGGTGAACCCCTACACTGGGTGACCCCCAAGCGAGACTTGTACAGACCCTTCAGGGCAAACATTCTATAGGAGTGACCCCCCTTACGGCTGGGGTGACCCCCCACACCTTAACAAGGCCCTATATATATATATATATATATATATATATATATATATATATAAATGTTGTGTGGCTGGCCCCCTTCTCTATGCCACGACAGTTTCGGGACTGCATAGAACAGAATTCAATATTCTATATATATATATATATATATATATATATATTTAAGGATAACATATGACACCTGTGGCAAAACCAGCCTCTTCAGCATGTATTTTCATGTGTGGGATGCTATCCCTTTAAGGACTGTTAGAACCAAGTTGATAGCTGTATATGTGTATTGTGCGAACAAAAGCATTCGTATGTTGGTGGCGAGAAAGCCACCAGCATTCATACAATAGCTTCCCAAACAGGGTATTTCAACTAACTACCGAATGGGAGACCACACACAGGAGGTCGTGTGTCTCCCATTAAAGATTGCAACAATGTTTCCTTCGGTGATTATTGTGTTTCAGGGTGGCCGTCGTTCGGCTACCGACCACGCGGCGGTCGGCCATCTTGTTTCCTTTGTTAGCCCAGCGGTATTTGGTCGTCGAGCGCCTGGAACTAAAATCGGCTACTTGACGGCACGAATACCGTTGCACTTCCAGGCCGTTCGGGAGCACCGGTCCTTCGGTAGTTTGTTCCCCTATATGTATTCGGTATTTTAAGATGACTATAAAGTAATATGTATTTTTGTGGGGTGTTCGGTTATTTATGCTGGGATCTGAGCGGTACTTTCACGAACTGTGCGCTCAGACCCCAGCTATCTACCAAAGGTCCATTCGTTTGAATAAAGCGAATAATGTAAAAGTTATTCATTTTCATGTAAAATGTCGGTTTTGCTGCACGGAGGGATAATCCACTTAACGGTATATTCTAGTGGGAGTATCCCTCTCGTACAGTCGTGCATGATGGGAGAAATGTCCAGGTTATTAAGTTCCCCATGTAGTCCCCTACTCTCCACCCTCGCTGGTAGGATGTCCTCATTCTTTACAAATGGTGGCAACCCACGGACCTCTCATTTACGAAGGCATTCGGGTCCTGCTCGCCAAATGAGCAGTCCAGTTGTCTCCGGACAGGTCAGGTTTCCTTCAAGAAGAAATTCATGGTTAGGAAAAGACAAGGAACTACCTGGAATGGCTACATATCGGTGGTTCGATACGTAAACCGCTCGGGCAGGGCATGATCCTGGGATCTCACAGAGGTGACAACGGACATATACCAGTTCTGCCTGACTCGCAACACCACTCTACGTGCAGTATGCTCAGTGGCTTACTAAGGGGGGGGGGGCGGAGGGGGCGGTCCGCCCCGGGTGCAAGCAGGGTGGGGGGTGCCTTGGGAGGGGGCGCCGCCAGGAGCACCACCCCCCATGCTGCAGCCGCCCGAGCGCCCTGCAGAGAGCCTCAGGCGGCTGCAGCTTTGCCCGCCCGGGGGCAGCCTGAGGAGAGGGGCTGACAGGAGGGAGCACTCAGCGCTCCCTCCTGTCAGTCCCTCCTTGTAGTGTGGCTGAGCCCTCTATTGGTCCGCTGGTACAGGGAGCACACAGAAAAACACACAATTCATTACACACACTGCATTACACAGACATACATACACAAGCAATGCAATCGTTACACACAGTGCATCCCTTACACACACAGAAACACACAATGCATTCATTACACACACTCAATGCACCCCTTACACACATTCAATGCATCCCATACATACACAGAAACACACCTTGCAGCCCTTACACATACAAACACAATTTCACACAATGCATTCCTTACACACATATCAGGACATCCCCTACACACTCCACCCCCTGTGAACAAACTCATTGGTGGAACATGAAGGTGGACCCTGGGACCCAGACCTTGAGCTGTGTAAAGGACCCCCAAAAAATGGAGCTGCTTCCCGTTCTCCCAGAACATTGATTTTTGTGACCACAGTTACAAACCGCCTCCAGAGAGCCTGTTCTGCACCAGACCAGTGGAGCCAGACTGCAGCTAGAGCCCATCATCATCCTCATCTGCTTGTAAGTAGGCAATCTAGTATATTATTCGTGGCACTAATCTCTTATTTACCTCACATAAAAGAAACACTATAGTCCCCAGAACCACTGCAGCTTAATGTAGTGGTTCTGGTGTCTATATCCTGTCCCTGCAGGCCTTTTAATGTAAACACTGCGGCACTGCAGTACTGGCGTTAGATAACATGGCAAATCATATGGGTGGGGCATTGTGATGTCACATGGGGGGGCGGCAAACTTTACTTTTGCCTAGGGCGGCAAAAATCCTTTCACCGGCCCTGGCTGGAGTGGGCTGTGTGAGCTGTGGCCGCACAGTGCCCCATGGTAGTTAGGGCACACGGAGGAAAAGTGGGGCGGAGCTAAGCAAAACCGGAGGCGGAGCCACACTGGCGCTGAGGGCGGGGCTTTGGGGGGGGCAAGGAGGTGCCAAGCACAGGATCCGCCCCGGGTTCCAAATGCTCTAGGTACGCTCCTGAGTATGCTCACCAGCATTTGTACAACCCCTGTAATGTCAGTAGGGAAACCCCTTGCATGGGGAATCCCATAAATACTGTGACCTGTGATTAAAAGCTCAGTTGACTCCCAGCCTATGTGTTGTCTAG